TGTTTCCAATGTTTCTCGGGGTCTCATTTTCTAGCCTAGAACGTTAGAGTGTTATTTGCTACGGCGTTATATCGTAGGCGTCTGTTCACACCCACTTCCCGTGCCGGCTGCGCAGCTGTACCAAGCAGATTTGTAGCTAGGTTGGTGAGCAGGCTGTGGTCAGTTGGTAGCTAAACTAAAAGGCCTGCTTTGTCTAGCGAGGATCATATTCTGTGGAGACCTGCCCCTACGGCAATCTCAGGTTCTGGGAGTATTTAGTATGCTCCCAACGAATACAATTGCAAACCAGTAGTGCGTTAAGTAGCTAGCTTGCGTATCTGCGGATCAACCCCTGGAACGCTTGAATGGCTAGCCTGGTATGGCCCGAAATAGGCTGAGTTGTTACCAAATGTGGTTAAAAGTCGGTTCCGAAAACTACCCAAAATACAACATGCCGATGCGTTGGTTATCGGGGAGCGATATATATATGAAACCGTCTTAGTTCTTCCGACAATAGACCGCTGGGTAAACTGTTTTGGGCTAAATGGGTCGGGAATAGAAAATGGCACTGGAATATCTAGCGGCCAACATAGGGCTATTTTAGAGACAAAAAAAAATTTGGGAACTGTAAACTGAATTTAAAAAGTGGATAAAACATTAAAGTAATATATAAGTATTTAAAAGTCTTTGAATTTAGGAAAAAGTGTGGTTATCTTTGGTACTTGATAAGTTTGACTTATTAGCATGTATGATAGTTTTCAATGAAAGGAAGATGTAGTTGACTTTTGGGATGGTTAACATTAATTTGTAATGTAATAAGATAACTTTATGTAAAGTATCACAGATAGCGCAGCATTGGAATGTTTGATTAAGTTATTACTGAACAAATTACGTACACGACGGCCAAATTTCTGGTATGAGAAGCGCAAGATCTAGATAGTTCTTAAGCCAATGCTCCTTTAGTTTTTTTGATGCTATATCTTTTGTAGCGTTAATAGAGGTCCTAAGGCCGCACAGAGGACAGTAATAGATCTCTGTATATTCCAAATAATAATGTTGGAGCTATAATCTGTCATCACTAAAAATTCGGGGACAATCTGATTGAGAGCATGGAATATCGTCTGCTATTATTGTCAGATAGATTAAAAAACCTTAAATTAACGAGAAAAAATCGCATAAAACATTTTATATATATACCAGTATCAAGGTATCCTGACAACAAGACTTCCGTTAAACAGTCAAAATCGTATTCTACGTTATCGAGTAATGTTATAGTAGTGTCGATCTACGTAGCTCGAGCCTTAAACAGTTCGATTTTTTGCTCAACCTCAACATTACGATATCTTAATTTTTGATTTTTGGCCAGAAGTTCCTCTTCGGTTAGTATCGCATCTATCAACTTCATCAATTTACTACGAGCAACATTGTAATCAGTCAGCCATTCCCATCGTAGTTAACAAGAAAGTGATATATTTAAGCTTACATGTGTTGACAAGCTTGAATTTTAACCGTCATTATTGGAAAGGGAGGATGCACAGTGTAAATCTTTCAATCAAAGATACAAGAAATGAACTAGACCACTGGGTGCTGGTAGAGATGGAATGTAGTGGGTTTCAAAAATGATTGGGGATTGGCCCTCTAATTTATAGACTGTTAATTCTTTCATCATTGGCAGTACTATATTGCGTGCGTTACCCTTTCGGTCAGATGCAGCGACCAGAATCTAACCAGCTGGGGTAATTCCCAGGGAGACTATGGTTCTCGATTAAACATAAGTACAAGCACTAAAATGGTCGAATATGAAAATGGCCGAATATCAAAATCCTAGTCAGGTATTGTAAAAGCGTCTGTCAAGGAAATTGCGGGAACAAAATAGGATGAGTGTCAGCCTAATATACCACGGAACGTAACGTTGTTTGCTTCTAAGATTTCGGCCTAGGATGAAGGGGTGTGGCCGAGGGTTTTGAATTAATCCGAGCTAACAGAAGGCTTATCTGGGGTTTGTGGAACTTACTATGCATTAGGTGATAGCTCGATTTCGGGGCCAGCCGAAAATGGATACCATAACACAGAGATTTAGGATCTCCCACTGCATTTTCTAGTGTAAAGATACGAAACCGGGCTCGGCAACCCCTGGTATTCTATGAAAACACCAAAATAAGCATAGAAAAACCCTCATGCTTATTTTGTATCGGTCTTACAGTCTTATTTTTGAGATATTGGGACTCTTGCTAAAATCTATCTCGCAATCTAGACATGGTGGCAACTTGCCAGCTTTTGTCGTTCCCAGCTGGTACCGGTCTTCTTGTACGTGATATGGTTGCCATACATAAAAGAAGCAAAAGGAGATAAGTTTGAGATAATGGACTTTTTATTCGTTTTTGTAAGCAAGTTTGTTATGTTGTGATTTTAGTAGTGGTTTTGAGGGTTTTAAAACTTAGCTTTCTGGGATAATTCTTACCGCCTGAGTATGAAAATGTTCAAATGAAGGTTCTTGCCTAATACATGAGCTTAAATATCTTGATCTTATTCCAATTTCAATCCATTACTATACATTTGAGGGGATAATCAGAATCATAAATATTCTTAATTGCCCTAATACTATGCTAGATTTGAATAAGAATTATACATTTATTGGAGGTGATGACTTTGATGCTGGCTTTAAAACTGATGTGAATATAATAATTTATGAGAATTGTTTTTGTGAAGAGATACCACATCAAAATATCGATACCATCATTATTGATTCTATCAAGAATAATCAGTTTTACTACAAAATACGTTGAAAGTAATTGACGAAATGACAATGAGCAAGTACAAATTGGGCATTCATTTCTCAAATGTTCACCCTCTCCATAAGGACAACGAAGTGGTTTATCGAGTAGAATGGAATTACGGGCACTTGCCGCACGAAACGCTTGTGGCCGATTACCTAAAGCTCGTTGAGGAGTATATGCAGTGCTACACGAAAAGTTTTAAGCTCCGATGTAAGCACCAAGCCAAACTTCAGGCCATAAATGCAAACCAACCTCGACGCTTTGGGCCTTTTGATACCTAGAAATGATTCTGCTCGATTCGTTACAAATACGTCGTGTGCCTGAGAAACAACACATCTCGAGCGTTGTATTTCACAGCCGACCTTCAGTTCTCAAGGCAAGATTGTTTAACGCTGATGCGAGAAGCTCAGTACAAACTTCTAGAGGGTTCAGAAGTGCGTGTTAGTTTCGTTTCAGCACGTAACGCTTAATTTGGAGGCTCTACGCATCCTTGTATCGGATTCCTATTTTGATTTTCTTATGGTATGTTTTGACATTCTTGTAACTTGTCTACTGAAACAAGCTATCACACGCTCTCTACACCTTTACCAGAAATATTCCTAGAATTTATCTAAAAAGGATCATGACGATGTACTTATCTTTTTCGCACCAAGTATGTTCTGTGCTGTGTTCTTAAAGGTTTCTGTGTGTGCGGATCAATCCGGATTTGAGAAAGACCACCCAAGGAGGGATACCTGGAGAAAATGGCTTGAAATAGCTTGATATAGCCTTTTGAGGTATCTGATTTGGAAGAGCGTCCCTAGCTGGTTCACCATAAAACCAACATCTTTTCGAGAGTTTCTAATGTAGAAGTACTATAGCTTATCCGACCGAATTAGGTTCCTACCCAGAAAAAGCAAAGGCCATCACCTGCGAACTCTCGCCTTTAGTGTTCCTGGGGATGTATACGTTGTATGTTATATTTTTTGTGTGAGTCATTGTTCGAAACTAAATCCACTTTATGCATCGACTAGCTAGTATATACTCCTCTTCGCAAGAAAAGCCGCTAGCCTAGTCTCGCTCCTACCTGTTGCGACAAAGCGCTAGCTAATATAGCATGTGCCCCAAATAAGCGGGTCTCACCCTTATGAAAAATTTGGGAACGGTAAATATAAATTGGCAAATCGGCAGCACTCAATACTCAAGAATCTTTGTAAGCATTATACACCTAATATCGTTAGATATCCAGCAGAAATGAGCACCTTGAAGCCCCGATCTCATTATTCAAGAAAACTAAGCTCTAAGAAGCCAATAACATCCAAATCTATCACAGCAATTATTATTACCTTAATTTTACTCGCAATTATTGGATATTTTATAATTAGAAAGCAAAAGGATTTAAACAGGGTTATTAAATACTTAATATTAATCTAAACACCAGAGATCGATGGTATATATCCAACTAACAATACTTCTCTATAGGCGATTAAGAGTATTGGATTAACATACCTCTGTAGACAGGCATCCTCCTACAGCAGAAAATTTATCCATAGATACTAAAACAAATAAACATTACTTTATAAATATTAATATACAGCCATCTATATACAAAGAAGTCAATAAACATTTTTCGTAAAAAACAAAATCTAGTTGAAAGAATAGTAATAACATAGTTCAATACAAACAATCTCAATATTATTAAATAAATGTTTACAGATAAAAAAAAAGCTACTCCCTGTATACTTTTATTATCAATTTGCAACTACTAATTAATATAAGAAACTATATATAAATCTCAGTTGAAATACTGTGTAGCCAGTTAATGGAATTTTATAGTCCTTATAGCTCGACTATTTTACATATGGCAAAAAACTTCTTAATCCTTTGTCAACGGGACTAATAGAAGCCAGTTATTCCAGTATAGGTGTAGAATGCACCCGATATATACACTAGAAAAGAAGAAATAAAACGAGCCCTGTACTGGGATTCGTGGCAGGCATATAAATTGAAACCTGGGGATTGATTGAGCGATGAGGTGGTGGCTGGGCTACATACATACGCGCAGCTTATTTCCTTCCCTTGTGCGGTGGTCAAAGCGGAAGCAGATAATATATATACAACGATGATGCCCACCGGTGCACCATGTTTTGATATGACCAAGTCTAACTATACTCCTCTCTATAATTCAACTCACCAATTTTTTTGGGCATATCAGGAGTAGTTTTCTTCCCCCCCCGCGGCGGAAACCCGAGATAAATGCTAGAAATGGTCAATCGTCAAGAACTATTGTTTCGGGCAGATATCTGCTTCGAGTTGGTGGAGCGAGAACATGCCGGAGATGACAGAGAACCGAAGATATACTTATGTCCAAAACCGAAGCAAGTATCCGAAAGCATATCTGAAGATTGTTTATCAGCTGCAAAGCTTCTTGTGGAACAGAATGATGTAGTCTCGAGTTGGCTTTGTGATGTAAGTGTCCCGCGCAGGTTGTGGTGGCTTCGCCGCAAGGGGGCTTTAACTAACCGAATCTCAATACTATATCGGCATTTAGACAACAGGCTCGCTCACATATTTTGGTCACTATATCAATATCGTTTGCGATAGAGGCGGCGAAATTACTCTTGAAAAATACATCAGGGACCTCGACCCCGTCCATTTCGACTTCCCTTCTGGACCTTCATCCCCACCCCCGCCACCAACAAAAGATTTAAGGAGGAAAAAGGCTCTTGGGGCCTATGAAGGAAACACTCCGGAACCAACAACCCCACTTTCCCTTAGTTTGGAAGAGAATATCGATGATGGAACCAGCCAGCAATCTTGCTCCCCTCAGCTAGAACCCACCACGGTCGTACGGCGAAAACCTCGGTACATGGTGGCATCTGCTTCTTCATACATTCCGGAGCGAATTAAACAATATCTATCACAACGCTTCCTTCCCCGGTCGGTTACAACTCGTCCGCCATCAACCTCATCGAGTGCCGAGTGGTACTTGCCGCTTCCATCCACGTTGCAACCGCTACGATCTAATTCTCTATCCCTCAGTCAGACCGTCAAAACAAGGGTGAAAAAAGTCATCCGTGGTACCGAGCACCGACAAACATAATTCAACCGTCTTTCCGAACTCAGACTGGCAACCCCCTACCAAGTTGAAGCTTAAAAGGCTTCAAATACCTCTAACAGAATGCTAAGCATCGGGTTTCTGGTAGCACATCTAGCCGATAATCACCGCTATAGCTTTTGAGCCAAGAATTTTGATTTTTTCGATGTCCATAGGGAATGGTGAACTAGGTGGTGGTTTATACGAAGCAGCATGCATGTACTTAAGCCATAAAAAGATGTGTGTTAGCTCAGGTATCTCGCTACCAAACCATTTCTCGCAGCTAATACTATAATGTGCAATCGGTTTACAGTTGAACGTGTGACTAGAGGGTATCTTTGGGTCAAGGTGGTCTCTAAGGACTGGGTGGCATTGATTGTGGCTAAGCGGGCAGCACATCCTGAATATGGGACCCCCGGGACATACGTGCTCCTAGGATATACACTGGCAAACCCCATGGTTACCTTTGTGATATATGGTGGTGCTAAAAGATATTTCATGACTTTAATTTAATTTTTCTATCCTTATTATGTTGACCATGGTATACCCAACTAAAATAACCGCACTGAGTACTGTCCTCCCTTAGAGATTACGCCGACTGATGGCCTCGCTGACCATCAGATCGAGCCCAAAAGACGGCGAGATCTAGACCTAGAGTACTGGAACATGGTCTTCGGAACTCGAATATCTTCCGCAACAAAATCAAAACCAAGCCAGCTCCTGCCGAGCGAGTTTTAGAATTATCCGTATCTTTTGGCTGTAATTGATGTTTCGTACATGTGCACTAGCAGCTAGCCATAAAAGCTATGTCATTATGGTACACTTGGCCGTCGAAAGCAGAAAGGTATTCAGGACGAGCTGCCTCCAACATGCAAAACCACACATGCAATGTGCATATGTGACCTGGCAATTTACGGTCTCGCTTTCAAGAAGGGTGGTGACAGGCTGGATCTCGGCGTCTGTTCTCGGTATGCCCGTTTCAGGCCTTCTAAAACAACGCATCGATGGCCCAGAATACCACACAACTCTCCAGAACCTCGGCATCTTGGCTAGCGTAGCGCGTAGCCGTAATTGCAGGAGGCAAACAACTTGGACGCTGTCGCTGTCGAACGGGAAGTAAAAAATATGTGGAAGGGATATTCAGCAGGTGAAAAAGCTCCGGAGAGATAAGAAGCGATGGTCTACTGAATTTCTAACTCTATACCGCAGAGTTCGTCCGCGGTCGACCGGTCAAGATGGGTGGGTGATTATCGATGACACTCGATCTATTAGCAATATCATTTTACAAATATTAGCCGATGTCGGTCTTCTAGATATGCGTCCGATAGAATATAATGCGCTTTGTTATCGTTTCCCCAACGTTAAACGCGGAAATAGTGATATGAGGGTCCCTAGGGCTATTATAAACTTCAAAACTATCGGGAACTTCGATTCCCACACCTCCCCGGAGTTTTCTTTTCTGGCTATGTTTTGCGCTAACTTTTTAGGCCCCGATTATAGGAATCACATCTTAGCAGATGACACTATAATATCTCAGCCGGTTGGCATAGACAGTTTAGTGGCCGTGGCATAATTTTGGGGGGTTGATGAATATGGCTGGCCCAGGCTTTGTGGTGATTTGGAATTTTTCGGAGCTGTCTTTGTATGAGCGAATCAAAATCGCAAACATTCATAATTGCCCTGATACTATAATATATTCGAACGGGGGCGTTCGAACCATACGTTTATTGGAGGCGATGACTTTGATGATGGCTTCGAAACTGATGTGGATATGATGATCCATCCGGGCCAAAACGGTAATCGAGCTATAGGATCAATCTGTCCACCAGCCTATCTGCCCGCCTATCTGCCTGCCAGCCTGCCTGCCTATTCACCACCGCCTCGCCTATTTAATGTCAATGGCGTTGACAAGTAGGTAGGCTAATAGACAGGCAGGGGATTCGGCACATAGATATAGCTTACTAGATGTGCATATATATTTTCTTTGCTAGGGAGAGTATGCATACGTATGCACGTAGATGGTCTTTTTCATTTTTGGACTCTATACCGAAAATTGAGGTTGAAGTTCGACCTACGCGCAAATTCAGTCGCACCATATGGTACAAACTAGCCTCGAATCCAAAAAAACAGCCCCGATTCAATATCCCAAAGCAAAGTATCTGTGTGGAGGTAGCAAAAATAATGGCCCATTCAAACTTTAATGTCAAAGTGAGAAGGGTTTTTAATCATCGATGGCGAAGGGACATTCTTTTGAGAAGCCGGGCCCACTTCGTTCAGCTAAGAAACTTTAGTATCAGCGGATGCGAGTGCAACATTATATACGAAAGCATGAACAAAGAAATTTATATACCTGTGATCAATATTTGCGGCTCTTTTTTAATTACCACCTTCGACTTCTGCGGCCGTTTTCGAGAATCGCTGCACAAGACTGGCTTTGTCGGTCGTTTCCTCTTGGCCGCCTCTGGTGGTTGACTCTTCTGTATTTCTTTATCCTTTTCCTTTTGATGCCTTGACCTCGTCACTATGATGCTCGGGGAGGGTTTCTTTGTGCCAGCAGGTGAAAGTTGAGACCTGCTTGAAATTCTGAGTCGGCAGCTTTGGTCGTCTGTTATGCTTAGTGCAGGCGAATTTCTCTCCGAGATCTGGCTGATGTCATGATCTGCTGTATCGATATCGGCGGTTTTTTCAGGGGAGTTCTCGTAAGGCGCATTGATTGCTTCCGATTCCTTGCATGGCGTCCGATTCTCGAACGCGGCGCCTGCCAGCCGGTCCACTATGCATGTGGCGGCCGACGCAACGAGCGGCATTTGATTTTGCCGTGAGAAATCCACGCCCCCCTTACCCTCCACTTTGGCGAACAAAGCGGAAAACGGTGGCAGTTCAATTTTGCCTTGATCCAAGCTTTTCTCGAAGTAGTTCGAAGTAGACGATTCACGAAACGAGTTTCCCTTAGCTTCCCTCGATTTTTCTTCGATACATATTGGCCATGATTCAGGGAAACTGAGCTGAGAAGGAGAAAAGGTTATTACTTTTTCGAGTTCTCGCTCCATCCGCATCCAAAACTGGAAAAATAACCATTGTTGAGCTTGAGATATTGTAATGTGCCCCTGTAGCCACAATTTTTCCACTATAGTTGTGGTTGTGGCAATGGCGGACTCGTAGTCTTGTGCCTCGAGGACCTGGTGCCCACTGCCGCCAATCGTGCCCTTCAAAATATTTGATAGGATTTCTTTGGCGAAGCTATTTGTTAGAAGTGCGCTATTGGCTATTATCTTTGAAAGCGTATCAATAACAGGGCGAGTGTCATTAACGATTATCCACCCAGCGTGGTCGTGGATGAATCTGGCGGTATAGAGTTGGAAATCAAGGATATAGTTGGGGTTGATTTTCGCATTAAACTTCCACCTAGTGAACATATTGACCATATATTCTTCGTTTTGAGCTGCAATAGCAACAGCATCCAATTGAGCCAACTCCATCTGTGATAGTGTTTGCCCTGGAGTCGCTCCTGATCTAGCCATGGTGCTGTGTAGTCCTCCGTAGTGAATAGAAAACGACAAGATGAGAGGGAACAACGAAAGAGTTGAGCATCCGAGTCCAAAAATTTGAGACGAGATGGGAGAAAAGGACTATACTAGAGCTCTAAATATTTTGAAAGACCGCCTCAACGGCAAGCGCATGTGTGGGTTTTTCGTGATCCGCGGTTGCCTAGAGAACTGAAAATGGGTAGAGGGCGGCTGCAACAGCTGAAGACTAAAAAGTAATCGCCACTCTATTCCGCGAGTGTTAAAACTTTACACTTACCCATGGGCACCACTGTAATTGGAATGAACCTAGCTGAGCCAAGCTTTGGTCTGCACCAGCACTCCTAATTGCGGTAGCGGTGTATTTGGCCTTCATCTTCAAAAAAGCAATCTTGCCCATTCGTCGTAACGGGGTTGATTCAAAATGCGATCTCATTCGCAATTTCACGTCAATCCACATATTTGAAACCTCTCTTTACGTAACATAATACGTTTTCATAATGCATAATTGAGCCCAATGGCCAGTTTGAACCCATCCGCGAGGGGATAGGAATCCTGGGTCAGAGCGCGTAGCCGTCGCTCAAGTTTATGCACCTCCACGGGATCCCTACTAAAAGCCAGCCTTGGCTTTCCAAAGGAAGTAGCATGGGTCTTTTCGTAATCCGCGCTTGCGCAGATGGCTGGGAAAGGGTGGTTGAGCCATGGCAAAATGTGCATATATGCATAGTCTCATATATGCACGCTCCTGTTCGCGGCCCCTGCAATTGTAATATTCTCATTAGAGATTCTCAAAATACGTTATTTCTGCACGAAGAAATAAATTGCAGGATGGGAACAGTGCCACGCAGCCTTCACAATTGTGCCCTGAATTGCAAAGCTATAAGAGCCACCTCCCAGCCTAGTTTCCAGACCTGCCTAATATATAGGACAGTTCGAAAATAGTTTTCAACTACTCTCATTGTATTACTTTTGCTGTCTCTCACACCTTAGCCTCGAAACCAACGGGCCATGCTGCCAACTATGTCTTCTTTGGGCAAACTCTCAGATGTTCTTCGACTCGTGGACAAGTACGAGAAAAACCCAAAGCTAAAGAACCCTGCGTCCGCCTCACACTATGGTCGGCAGATTGCGTCGGCCTGCGATGGGGTTGAGGTTAACTATGACCCCGACATATACTCGCTACATTATATCCATCTCGTTTTGCAATTAGACCGCATCATTAAAAAAGACAAAATCCGCTCACTCTCTCTAAATGATGTGAATTGTTACTCACAACTGCTGGAGGCAATGCTAATACGGTTGGTAAAGAAGGTCACGAGTTCGCTGGAGCCAAAGGTCGCACTAGATGTCTCAGATCAGCAAAAATTCGGCGAGGATCTGGATGATATCAAGCGTATGGTGCTTCTAATAGGAGGCAACTTAACACTAGCTCCATCCTTAGCCTCTGGGGCGATAATCATGCTACGGGAATTGTGTCTGCTGGCTATTAAGTTGGTTACTAGGAGTCAGGATGGGGCATCGAGGCTTGCTCAGAATTGTCAAGCAAAGGAAAAAAGGAAAAGATCTGATGTCAGTACTTTACGGGTTACAAGATCCGAATCCAGCGGCCCACCGATCCAGCCTAGATCCAGCCGCAGAACAACAAGGAGCCAGGCAAGAGCCGAAACCAAACGTCCCGACCCCGCGGAGATAATTATAATCGACGAAGATGGGAGTCACAACGAACGCAAACGTCTCAAGATCAAGGAGATAACCGATGATAATGTCAAGGCCGAAGTCGAAGACGACGACGATGAATTTAAGGTCGAAGATATAACCGAAATCGATAAAGAGGACGATGAATTTAAGATCGAGGATACAGCCGATAACGAGGACGATGAATTTAAGACCGAGGATATAACCGATAACGAGGACGATGAATTTAAGACCGAGGATATAACCGATAACGAGGACGATGAATCCGAGATCAAAGAAACAGCCGACCGCGATGATGACAAATCCAGCGAAATCGACAAATTTCGAACTTGCGTCATTTGCGGTGATAATGTTTCGAACAACAATTCAATGTCGCATCGTTTCAAGTATTACCTAAGGCACGTCACCAAAAGCCATCCACACCATTACAAGACCAAAGATATCCAGAGGCATAGATGCCATGTTTGCTCGGCGATCCATCCCACCCAGGCTGGTCTTACTCTGCATGCGGGTATCGAACCCGGCTGCGGCAGGCATGCTGATCACCAAAATTGGGAGCCATATGGGTTGAAAGAGAGCCTTTCTCCAGCTATGCGATTTGTCTGTACAATTCCGTCATGCAGCACAGTAATACATTTGAATCGTTTCGCTTACCATTATCAACCTTGGCTTGAGAGGGTGGAGTCTCATTTGGCCAAAAAACATGGGCGTCGTCTGATTGTGACTTGCGGGTTGTGTCCAAACAAGTCGTTTGAGACGATTCAAGCAATGGTTAAACATCGAAAACTTCATGGACTTACTAGCATCCATTCAAGAAGGCGCGAACTCTTTGAAATCTCCCTATAGCTATATATCTAGTATGTTTTCGAATTTTCACGAGCGGCTTCGCAAGAGTCAAATAGACTGACATTACATGTAGAATATATCGACATAAGCTTATATACGTCAGACCACCAATCTCGTGTTCAAGGGCCTAGGCGGCCACGACAGCCCATTGCATCGGCCGTCGGTCTCTTTCTCTAGACCTAGTAGCCTCGGAGGATTTTTGTTATATATATCTATATATATACATATAAATACATATATTTTGGGATATCGGACGAATTAACACGGCTTTCTCCTAATGACACTGAGTGTAGTGTATGCTACATGTAAGCTGACATTTGACCCGAGGGAATGGGGAGGGGGTATAAAATCGTCCCCAATATTCTGAATCTATAACTTGAGTTTCTGTGTGCGCTTGGTTAGCGGCCCTTTTACAATCAATCTCTCGCCGTCGGGCAATTTTTACATGGGATGTTGTCGCAGCTGCACAGAAGATACATGGTTTACTCCGTTGCAAGGCTGTTAACTAGATATTTCAGGCATCCGGCCTGGATAAATTCAGTGAGGGAAAGTCTTAGCTTTCCAAATGAATATAGATTCCAATAAAAAGAGGTTGACGACGAACTTGTTCCGGGGTATGAAAAATACCTTTCTCAGCCTCTTCTGTTTTCAAAAATTGGTATTCCGAAGCCTCATCCTCATAAGCCAAGTCGGGGTTGTCTGTTTTACATGGGATATCGAAGTAAATAGAAAGGCCATTGCAGAAATAAGTGGCAGTTAATTTAGACACGGGGGCAAATACGGCTCGGAAAATCGTATCCAGTCGGGCCGCAAGCACCTGCAATCATAGTGAGCAAAATTTCGACGTTTTCAGAGGCTCCGAAGCTAAGGTAGCCTGGCCGTGCCAAAATTAACGCGGACATATAAGCTGAAAATTACAGAAACGGGTCCACAGGCCCACACATATGCATGATACAGCTAGGCTAATAGATGGACACTAATATCAAAATCTCCCCGCTTAGCAGAAAAAATTAAACAATTCTAATGTCCGTTGTTTCATCGATCATCACATTTTTCGATTTGTGCATAAATCTGAGGGTAAGGGCCGGCGTTAGGTACAGGAAAGCCGGGTTGCACAGCCGAAAAAGGTCTTCTATGGAACAAGAATAACCGTGCGCGCATTGATGGCTGTGGGGGCCATCACCGTATGGGGATCAAAGTTGTCAAAGTTGTCAAAGTCATCAAAGTCGACTTTAGTGGGCCCTTACAGGGATCCCCCCTGGAAATCGTGGCTTCGCCCAGCTGACCCATCAGTAAAGACCAATAAGAATATAATAGCTAAATTAATTCAGTTCATGTCACATTTGATCATAGCTCAAAAGTCTCGGACTTTCTTGGAGGCCAATTGTGGAGCCTTTCTTGGGTCGCACCCTTTCTAGCACAAAATTGCCAAGGCTTTGACGCCACGTTGTGTAACACAGCGCCCAGTTGCTCAACAGAACACAGGAAATTTTTAGTGACAAACGTAATACAGATCCAGGACCAGCAACGACTGGTCTCGTACCCAGACTGCACGACCACGATCCAACAAAATACGGGTTTTGCTCTGGGCAGCTAGGCCGTGCGGCGGCTCATCTTAATAAGTGGAAAAAAACCTTAGGGATACTGATGGTAAATCTAAAATGTTAAAATGTAATAAGTATTTGGGCTGGTTAAGCTGCCTGTGAGTTTTGACCCCTGAATACCCCCTCACGATCTGCTTTGATCTTCCACCAACTATGTCCAGAATTCCTGCGCACTTGAGTTCGGTTGGTCACATTTTTGGTCGTTGCTCTGGACGGCCAAGGCTTGATGCGCGACTAATTCTGTAAAGCAGGCGAACACGGAACTACCCCCGCACTTTTGCCGGATCCCCGACTTTTGCAAGCACACACGGAAAGCGACGCACATCCCCACCCGCCAACCGGACCTAGGATTATGGATCGATTGCAAGAATATTATTGTTATTGGTAATTAGTGTTCTCGGACGCTGATTAGACAGCCTTCCGAACAAGTACCAAATCCACGTACCTACAGAAAAAGGCAAATAAAGATAAACGGACTTCAGCAGAAAAAATCAAAAACAAGATCTACAAAGATATTCCTCCAGTGCAAAAGAATAAAAATTAGACAAATCTAAAAATATTTTACAACCAATTCAAGATTAAATGTTGGATTTCTTGCTAATTTATCCAAGAAAATATATCTATAATTTGCGAATCGTTCTCGAAGTTTTAAAAATAATTATAGGGCTTGTTAATTACAAAAATTACCAAACATAAATTAATACTTTTCAAATAAAATTTTTATATCAAAGCTAAATGTTCTCCCTGTCTAGCTGTGGGAGAATTATGTGATACTGTTAAAATAAAAGAAGACAGTAGGAAAAGAAGATGTGCTTTTAGGTGATGAATCTGAGAAAATGATGCTCCCTTCCTTTGAAGAAATCACGAGCTTTGCGGCTGGAGATTTCTCAGGGATCATCAATAGAATTTCTTGACTAGCTTTTCTGGTGTTCTTCTAGTTGTAAATTTTGGGATCCCTGAGATTCCCTGAAATTTCCGTTCCTATTTGTCAGTGTCAAAGTATCATCAGTTCCATGAGACAAACCTCCAACTTCTTAATTACACTTAGCAGGGATTGACAAGCTAATTCCCCCATCCGCTTTTCGGAATGGGTAGGGGTCGTGATCGATCCGTGCTCCTCTAAACGAGACGTGCATGCTTGAGAGAGAGACAGAACTAGAGTCACCTAGCCATCATCCCTGTACGAAGGATGCCCTCTCCAGTGTAGCCATATAAGTAGTGGACGTTAGACGTTGGCGGCGCGGTATCATGTCGTATAAGAGAATTATGTTGAAACCTTTCCCCCAAAGCCTCAGAATGTTAGACGATAGGTACTCGACCGGACCCAAACACCCTTCTCCCACCTCGATCGAGTTTATCATACATAAACGGACTGAACCTGAACATTTTCCTCCCACGCCGATCGAGTATACCGAAAGGAAGCATACCGAAAGGTAAGATGATTACCCGTAAACGCTTAATGGAACAGCCTTCTAGACACTAATCCACCAGTCATTTGTTGTAGCCGACCGGATGAGCATCATAAGATTACCACCAATATCAGCGACTACGGCGTATGTACAATCAACGAAAAGGCCCAGCGCACCCTCCCGCCATGGATGTCGCCAGAATCATGTTTTGCTATCAGAACATATGACTATCGAGGACGACGTGGGAAATACCAATGTCCATGCTGTGGTCTTATTCGGCTTCCTAACATTTTTCTCGTATACAACCACATAGCACAGCACGTTTCCCGTTACGTTTGCTTAGTTTGCTTCTCTGGTGTTACCGCAAAATCCCATATTATTTTACATTATCGTCAACATGAGTACCGCGGTGAGGCCCCAATAACCCTGATGCGGGGAGTCCACTATACGGACATGACACCAGAGGAAATGCTGCAGGCCAGTCAGCTACTCGAAAAAGCAGGAGAGAGCGGACCAGAATCACCATTCGTAAGTGTAAAGCGGAAGGGCCAACCCCAATCTTGGGAGGTGGGACCCACGGGGCCAAAGAAAATGGCCTGGTATGGCCTCCCGGAGCGTCGAACTCGGAAGGATATAACAAAGATTATAGGAGGACGTCCATTGCGCCCCGTTCAACAAAGATCATCTCGGTAAGACCCTAACAGTCTATCGCTCGATCTGGTTTTTGGGTTATTATATTAACATTGTCCCCCGTCTCAAGTCGGGCTGGGCCTAGAATAGAGCTACCAAGAAAAATATTACCTGTACCCCCTTAATGGACACTCATCAGATCGTCAAAAACGCCAACCTGCCCTCCGTATAATATGCAGAGTTCAATCGTGTTCAATGCGTATTGAAAAACAGGGCGAAACCTGCATAAAATATTCAAAGATGGATTAAAATCCATGGGCTTAGCCACAGAGGGGTTCTGGGACGGTATGGGAGTATGAGCCCACTTGCATTGCGTATTCTGTGCCTGTTTTAAGGACTTGGAGGCGGCTCCGTTTTCATAGCAATTGTTGGCTTGGATAATATTTTATGGTGGTTTTGCTTCAGTCGTTCTCCTGCAATTTTTTACGTGGAGGGTTATCCTAATTTATCTTATACTTTAATCATATTTAGATCTACGCGAATACTCTCAATAGGTCACCAATGCTATTCAAATAAGCAAGTTTTATATTAATCCTAGTAATCTATACTGTAATTCGCGAATACCGGTGCCTTCGTCAAGCTTTGGGTAGTTGGAGTAAAGCACTTTTGTATATCTTCTTTGTGTGCGGGAATTTGACGCTTGGCTTCTTCTAGGGTCGGAATACCCCTCCAGGAAGCTTAGGTGCCTCTGTGGACAAGATAGAGGGCCCCATATCTATAATTGATATAATTGACTTTGCGATGTTCCTCTAGTTGACGTCGTGGGTATCAGTGTCAACTTGAAGTTTAGAATGTTAAAGGTTGGAACTGGAATAATGGTTCGTTTCGTTTTGTAAGGGAGAACAGATCCGTGGCTTGGTTATGGCCTCTAATCCAAAACCTTGCCTATGGCCATTGAAAAAAATGTTGCAAATGTGCAGCCGACGCCGCATGCAGTCGTATATCTCTCAATGGCTTTGGACTAAAACTTACCCAAAGGTCACACAAAGTATGACCACCTTGTGACTGGGAGCCCGGTAAATAGAACCTACGACTAAGCTATAGCTCCACGATGTATAAGAAATTTAAAACCTACCTCGTAGTCTAAAATCGAGAAGGTTTTATGCTCATGCCAGCACGAATGGCACACGGTCCCGAAGCTGGGTAAGGAGTTTCCGACACACTCGACATACTTGTGAGCTAAGAAATCCTAGACCTACCGAGGTCTTAGCAATCTTCATTGATCTCCGGCATTGCCTCGATTGGTATTCCCGTCTAAGTTCACACGATTCTTTTATACAAACTGGTGTAAACCTTTACCACCAAGGCACTTAAAACTGGACTTGGTTATTCCCCCTTTATCGGGAAGAGATAATATACATGACCGGAGGCATGATAAACGAAGTTATATTCCTACATGCTGCCGCTGTGCTGGTCGCCGCCCACCTTCCTGTTTCTACACCCATCCTGTTACCAAAGTACATGATGTTGAAACCCCTCACAAACCCTGTTAACATAGCTTAGGGTGCCGTATATATTGTACAGGGGTGATTGTCCTGTGAGTTACCAAATAAAACTTAGAAAGCTTCGAAAGGCGTATCGAATAAATATGCCAAGTTATTCTGTACACATGGATAAAGACTGTTCAAGCCTTATTTGGCCCTGTGTCTAAGACAGGTGCCACATATTCCTACAAATGTATCTTGTAACAAAGTTACAGATCAGAGCACAGTGACAAAAAACCCAACATGTGAACAAAGTCAACACACTCTAAGCTCTAGGTCTCCGGCAAATATTCATTGCAACTTTCCATGTTTTCGAATTAGGAAGATCGGCTTGCCCATTCGAACTCATAGGGACATTGGGCTTCATTGGATTTCGGAAGAAACGTGCTTTTCTTTTCAACAGCATCCTCGGCAGCATCTATCTTGCCGAGGACTTCCCTTGGGGCCAGCGCCAAGCGTACGTCTCCGTGGTGTTAGGCGCTGCCGTTCAACGGAAGAACCCCACGATAGACACAGCGTCTTTTTCCTTTCTTTGCAGCTAGAATAAAGAGGGTCGCTTTTTGTTACTATGCAATAAACTGCCATCGATCTATATGGCTTTAATTTGTACAGTTGCGGTGATTTTAAACTCTAGCGGTCATGTCGGGGCCCTGTATTTCGAAGGTGCCTGCATCAATAGCGAACAATTCATCTAGTCATCGATGTGCCTCGCGATAAGTGTGAGAGCCTGGATTGGTACACCCTCAGCCAGCGGCTCGTAGCGCGATAACGGACGAAAGTCGAGCTACCCTGTCATGAGATATCCTCTCCACCACACACTTCACATCCACCACCGACCTTATAATTCGTTGAAAAAGTGCCACCCGATTTATACCCGTCTGTGGTACTTGCTCTACGGGTTTTTACTTGCCTATACCGCAATATAAAATTAGAAGGATCGTGTGGAGGTTGCGCTGCGGGCTCAACCAAACCTAAGCCTGATGTTGAATGCATCAACGGGCGGAGCATCCCTCAAGGATCAAGGCGGTCCCGAATTGGTGGAGGTCCGATATATACTATCCATATATTAGCCAAGAAAGGATCCAATAAACCTAGACAGAGCTGTAAGGGGCTGGATGGGGCGGCGCGGAGTTGGGTGGAGCTCCATTCCTACCCCGACAGCGATTCTATGGTCTACATCTTTCATCTGCCTAAAATTTCGACTATGCACTGAAGGTGTCACCACGGCTAGGCTCCCTAGCCTGATCTCCCGCTCTTCTTGGGACAGGATCCTAGCCACTACATCTACCAAAATTAAGGCCCGTGAGCGTTTGTGGAGGCTGGTATACGAGACCGGTCCTCCCCGCGACCATCTTGCTTGCTTATGAGCTGAAAAGTACACTTTGGTCCTGATGAGCTCATGACCTAGCACCTAGACTTTAGGCTTTTAAACCATTAAGAGTGTGATTACTTTTGGGACTCTTGCGCCATCGACCACCCGTATTGAGATGTTCGTCGTTATATTGCAGGGAACTAGATCTTCGTTCCGGAGCTTCAGCGAAAATGCGAAATTTTGGAAACGGAAAATCAGAAAGGGCCCTGGACGATTGACGATGGTGATGGCCCGCTGGGCATAGCAGCGATCATGAGCCGATCCGTTCTCCTTTCTCTAACCAATCTGCATCTGGCACTGATCTATCTGTCAGTATTGCGTTGATATCATATATCAATTAAATTGATTAGTATCGATTGCCTTAACTGGTGAAAATACCACACGCTACAACACAATTCACAATATATATTTCGACATGCCTAACTTCCAGCCATCGAAACGCCAGATATGGGGACTGCGGCGAAATTTGAACCAGTTTTGGGAGAGAGTCACTAGAAGATTTCGCCAGAATCTTGAATTTTCCTGCCAGGCGCCTGTAGATTCCTGGGAAGATTGGAATGAGCTTAATCCAGATTCCGCTTCCCCGAATCCATACGATGCTATCGCTACAGCGCAAGCCGACGAATCTACTGGAAAATACCTTATGTGTAGGAGAGGAAATATCGTAGCGGAAACGATGGGTTTACCCACTCAAAACTTCTGGGAACAGGTGACTGTCATCAAAGGGCCGACGGATTGTGTCAACTTCGATCATGGCTTAGGGAGGCCTCGAGAGTCAGTCCTGTTACCAGAGTCGCCGTATCAGACGCAGGCTTCCCATGTCCCGCATGCTGTCTTGCGCCTTCAAAATAACCTTCCTTCGGTCAATGGACGTGATCGACCTATAGGAATTACGGGTGATCTGCCGACAATCGAGTATGCGCCTGGGTTCCCAGATGACCTTCAGGGGCTGCTGTGAGAGTTCTGTGGATTTTCAAGGGCTATCTGAGACAGACGGGCTTATCGCTTTATTAGGGTAGTATCTTGTATGCACAGTTGTGTCCGAGGGCGTCTGGGACCGAGACTATCTTGTATGTAACAAAGGGGAAAATAAAACTGGGAGCCGCAGCAGAAACCGAGGTGCTGAGCGGCACATAGGGATGTAATGGGGAGGGAATCGAATTACAGTGGCTGAGCCAGATATATGCCTCTGGTTCATTGCCCTACCGAGCGGCCACAGCAGGACAGGCTTAGAGCTCTGTACAACATAAATAGCAATCATCCCCACCGCGAATTCACAGGATCGCTCCTTTGTTGAATCCATAGTCGAGCAAGATCACCGTATTTTATGCTACCATTCAATCACATTTTTTTTCTACCTTCTATAACAGGTTCATATCTATCGCCAGGACCTTTATTCTCGGGGTGAAGAAATTTCAGAAACTCAGATTGGAAGTATTGACGGTCAGGTTGACTGGACCTGATGGAAAGTTGACCCTATTTTTTGGCCCAGAACATAAGATGAAAGGGGAAAGAGATGTTCGTCTAAGTGTGCCTTCGAGGCTCATCCCACTGCTGAAAGATATGACTCGGATTCCAATCCTAAGACCTGCTTCGCACGAAATTTGCAAATTGAAAGGATTTTGGCTAACAGAGCTCCTATATTCCACTTGGGCTCAGGGAACGCCCCGCTCAGGAGAGAAGGTGTCGAAAGTTTATAGTAAACAGATCCGCCTCTGCTTCCACTACAGATACAAACCCGCGGCAGATGAAGAGGACTCCGCTCCAGAATGGAGACTTTTCACTCCCCCTTGTCCTCCAAACAGCCCTCCACACTCTCCTCCGCCGCCGCCGCCTCCACCCCTAAGATCTGCTCCAATAGATCTAGGCCCGTGTCCGCGACTCCCGCCTCGCCTACGACGGCGAAACGGTCGGAACCCTTTGCGGCCAGTGTTAGCCCCCACAATCGTGCCTGCAGCCATACAACTAATACCTCAGCCCCCACTGTCTGCCCCTCCACTGTCTTCCCCTCCACTGGCCATCCCGAGGTTAGGATCCTGCCACTCGTTACGATACTCTATCCCTTCACCAACAAGCATGGCAACGTCAGTCGATCCTGCAATCACGACTGGCGCGAAAGCATCACAGTTCCCAGCGCTTTTATCATCTCCTTGTAGAACATCCACCCCATCTCCAAACCGCAATGGCCCATCAGAGGTTCCAAAAACAGCGCACGTTACAGAAGTTAAAGCCCGCCGGCGATGTAGGACGCCCCTTCTTCGAAAATTCCTATCCCGATGCCTATTTCGGCGTGCAGAGAGATGATTGACAGTACTTATACACGACTAGGTCAGTGCCTTTCAACTCAACCTTCTACTACCGAATCCTTCTCACTCCTACCAAATGTAGCTTAGCCAGGAAAACAAAGCAATAACCTCTTCGCTCTCTAAAGTACTTTAGTTCGGCGTCATAGTCTTTACACGTCATTTATGTATTAGAACGGGTTAAAATATCAAATAGATACAAAAGAATGGAATGAATTTAAGACACCCATCGTCGTATAACCTAATCAGCTGATTGTCCCCAACGCCTATATGCAGTTGCTTTTATACTTAACAGATATTTTAATGCTAGTCATTTCTGCGGCGCCCCAACCTATTAACAATGAAGATGGTACGGCTATTTGAAAGTTGGGCTTTATAAGTTGCTTTCAGGCCCTACTGACGTCCTATAGCCATGACTTGATATTCATAATAACGCCATTTGCGTAGCTATTTATCGGGTCTTTCAAAACCTCCTTACGGATTATTAGCAATTCTCTTAAGCTCAGTAGATATTAGGAGATTTAATATTTACCGATATAGTTATTCCGGATATAGAGTGGCAATCTATCAAATATTCAATTTATCCTCCAGAATATCTAGGGCGCTTCGCCCTTGCGCCAGGGTTGTCGATTTCGCGGGCCGCTAGTTCTACGGTACTATCATCGTGGTGGGGTGTGGGGTCAAGATTCTGAGCTATTGTAGAAGCATCAGTACCCGCCAGTAGAATCCCTTCTTTCCAGTATAAGCCCATCGCGGGAATTCGAGGATACTAATCCGAACTGATTGTTTAGTGTTGATATCGATAACTATATTACCGCACCGAACATAATCCGGGTCCACTCCGCATTTTTGAGCCACTAATTACCCTCATGTCGTTGAGGTTGCAGGAGGCGGTGATTTCCTGTCGCCACTGGCTTTTTGGTAGCGTTGAGTTTGCTTTATATTTATACTGGAGTGGTACTTCAGTCCGTCGGAATCGTTGGTGTGGGCATTGCGATATTCCATGATACTATCCAAACATGCAAAACTTACTTATTCATATCAGCTAATCAGATCTTCTGTGGCTCTTTAGTTGATATAAAGCGATGTTCGCAGCCAAAAGTCCATAGGGCAAGTCAGTGTAAGCTTCGCCAAAAGTAGGAATGACTATTTCTGGTTCTTCTGGTTCTGGAATGGGGACTGGGATGAGTTCTGGCTTACGCTTCTTGTCCTGTGGGCAAAAGTTGTAGAGGCATGCATCGGCAGAGCAGGCGCCTACTGCTCCACAGCCCGAAGAACAAGAAGCGTGAGCCAGAGCCTATCCCATAGCCCATCCCAGAACCACAGCCAGCATAAACCAAAACCTATAGGACTAGAAAGACTTACATGGTTATTTATTTTTCTTCAGCCCAAGTGGATAACATCGATTAGTTGTTTCATGGTAGACTGCCGTGGAGTGGATTGGGGAGAACTGAGACAGCCGTTGCACACCCTCGTGGTTTATACACTTTATATCAGAGGTCTTACTTGCTTTATTTGCCGCTCTACAATGCCGATGCCCGGCTTCCCATCTTGTCCTCATTACAAGGTTCCCGTACATCATGTCGCGGAGATCACACTCTCGCGGGAGCTGAAGTACCGCAGGTAAAAGTGTTGAGTCAACAGGCAGCGTTGCAGTATTAATATGCTCGACAATGTTTTTAGCTTCTGATGTTCACCGCTAGTCTCGAGGCCAGGTCCATTGCAGGGGGACCTGGTGACTATGTTTCGTGAGTGCATGGCGGCATCGGTGGGACTCGTCTTTGCATATTTCCCAGCCGCTAATTACAAGCGCTCGGACGTATATATGCCACCTGCAATAACAAGTGATAGTGATTGTACGTGCACGCGCGTAGGCAAAGCACCCCACCCACTTTTATAATTCGAGGCTTCAAATTTTTCCGAGATTAGTTACATACAAAAACTACTTATTCAACGAAAGGGCGCTTTTGGGCAGATTTCAATCATAATCTAATCGCTCTCTATAGTGATCCGGTCTGCGCTGGCTTCAACAACTCAACCTCGACGATAGCTCCTACACTCTAGGCCGCCAGATTCCCCTATCGAAATATACTACTGAAGGAACTCAATACCACGAGTTATACTATCACACTATTATTCGGAATTATTCAGGCTTATTAGCTTTTTAAAAATGGCAGCAAAATTGGACAGGGTCAGTGAACTAATCCAGCCGATTTGCAAATCTGAAAGGGCTAACCCCAGGATATGATTATTAGGCATGCTCTTCACCATCGACAGCCTCCATCCCGTCCTTGTTTGCTAATCAAGAAGCTTGTCCACCTGCAACCGATAAAATCCGGCACCCGGAATTAAACGACCTGGAGAATATACGTTGCTCGAAGTGTCGTGGGGTCTATGATATGACATGCAATTGCGATGAATACGACTATTCTGTTCAAAGATCTGATTGTTTGCGGCTACTTATATTTTTCGGCATTCTTTGTTGTTGGATTCTCTGTCTTCTTTTATGTTGGCTTGTTTCTTCTTGGAAGGTCTAGCTAGTGAGCGGGATTTGGGTTCATGTGCGTTGCAGACGTTGGAATTTTAAAGTTGTTCATGTCGAAATAACAGGCAATCGAGCGCCACCAACGGTGGCTGACCGAACGCCACACACGTGACCAAGTAAGGTTTCACAAGTGAACGAGCTCACCTCGATAACATGAAGAAAATTTCCGAAAAATCTCTGCTCCTAGCAATAAGCATATATGTATATAACGAACGAGGAACGTCGTTCGGTAGAACGCTTTCTCGTAAGGATAGTCAAGCAATAATCAACTATTACAACAGTTCACGCTTCAGGGAACAAATTTACTTAGATTTTGTTGAAACTGCGTTCGTGACTTGAGATATCTTGGGGTAATTAATTATACAAGACGGGTTGACTAAAACCGCACCATAAATGGAACACAACTTGCCTCGTACCCAGACACAACCGATTTTGGTATATCTTCACAATCTTGACTACTCGGGGCAGATTGTATCTGTACGTATATACGATGACTTCAATTCCCTGAACCAAGGCTTGCTTGATTTAATCAAAATCGTGTGGTACTTTCTGGCTGGGCCTTTGCACTGGGGTATTGCTTTCCTATTGGATGCACCGTGTGCTTCCTGCAGACAAGATGGTGATGGGACGATTGAGATTACCCAATACGATTGGCCGCAGCCGCTCTATTATCTCTTCGCTTGTGTGCGGTCGCTCTTGTGGTTAATAAAAATTTCAATGCCCACTCATTTTCAAAGCGGTGGAGTCGTTCTGCGATAAACTTGACTCGATTGTCCGAAGATAGTTTGAGATATGCTGAATCAATCACGGCCGTCTGGATGACATAGTTCTGGCTTTCATAGTCACTAGGCCCACTGACGTTCCATTGATATCTCTTGTCATCTATCGTAACGCCGTCTGCGTAGTCCTCTATCAGCTTTTTTAAAGTATCCTATATTCAAGCACGTTAGAGGGCTTGTTGTGCTTGGTAAGTGGGGTATTTACCTACCAAAACAATCCTCCATACCTCCTTGCCAGATGTTTCGGTCGGCCAATCTGGATACCGACTTAGGATCTGAGTGCTAATCAAACCATCCTCCGGGATTCTCAGGGCCTCTCGCACTTGCGCTAAATTGGGGTTGTTGGTTCTTTCAATCAGTTGGCCTTGAGGGCTGTCGTCACTAGCTTGGTGAGGGAAAGGGCGGGGTGAGGATCTAGAGGTGGACGTTGATGCTGATGTTGATGTTGATGACTGCGTGTCAGGGTCTGCCAGTAGGATCTTTTTCTTCTAGTCGAACCCCTGCGCCATGGCTTTAGAATCTAGGTATTTCGCTCTATTTCAGGTCTTGAAATGTCGCCGAATCGAGAACGTTGGTAGACATCCACTTGTGAGCACGAGAGTCCTACTCATACCAACCATCATCCAAATTTAGAAAATTAAGTCTGGGCAACATGTTGCAACAGGACAACACATCACGAATGTTGTATGTGTACCGACGAAGTAGTCCCAGACTGGCATCCATATATGCAAATATATCCTCCGTTTGTGCACGCGCGTTCGATCTCCCCTGTTGGTTGCGGGATCGAGCGACACAACCGACCTATATAACATCGCTCGCTGCCGCAAGTGCACTGAAATGTGTTGTGTTGTTTATGTTGTATTATTCATCTTGGCTTGCAGGGCTGGAAGTTCCTCTGAACATATGTTAACATCATGAATTCATACGAACTTGGCCATGCATGGAGTCCGAAAATTTAAATGCTTATCGCATTTACACTTGGGCACTTGTACGCTAAGAAAATAGACGAACTCATGATAGCAGCGAAAGTAAACTAGTGATTCTTAAATACAGGTTTATAGTACAGTTTCAACAAAAATAAATAAAAACCTTTCTATCTCAGTTCCTCCAAGATTGGATCGCAAACTTGGCATGGATTTGACGCGAAACAATAGTAAAAGCGCATGTCGTTTGACCCCTTCTTCTTCCAATACTTTTTGAGTAGCTCGACATCTAATTCATTCTCTCCTATCTCTATTTCGTTTCCATTTTGCCACCGCCAAGTGTATGTCAATAAGCAGCTGTGCTTGAGATCGCTTTCGCCCTGAGTGTGATTTGAAATTTTCCCACATTGAATCGTGGCTAAGGGTATGGATGTGCCTTTGGTGAAAGCTTCTATCTCCTTCCCACTCGCCATTTCCACTGATACAGATCCATCAGCTAATCGAATGCGCTTCATGTACGCGGGTCCTTCTGGAAACTGCATAACAACACATTCCATTTCCGCCAGAGGTATGTGGTAGAGGTCCTGCGTCGAATCTGCTTTCTTCCTTCTTTTGAGAGGTCTCGTTCCCCGAGGCGAGTTAACAGCTCTAGAACCCGAGACTAGATTGGTCTCAGTGTTTCGTTTCCTTTTGTTCATCTTGACCTTGGTCGGATCTACCACCTTATCAGAGGTACGGTATCGACTGCTTGTTTCCTCTTCCATGCCATCAGGAACGCCGATTTCCGACTTAGTATCAGTTAAGTCTACAAATCCGGTAGAAATCTGGGGTGCAGGCGCCATCTCCCTTTCAGTGCTGGTAACTTTAGTGGTGTCTGGCGTATCCCCTTCACCGTCGCTACCCGTTGTTGCAAATTCCAATTCACTTGTCGCAGGTTTCTCTTCATAAGGTACAATTTCAGCTTCGATTTCCTTCGATAAATCGGTTTGCTTTTTGCTATTTAGTATCGGAGTACCGACACACTCTATTTGTGACTGGAGCTTGCCGATCTCAGGGTCGGGCGTAGTCTTCGAATCAGAATCTTCCAGGCCGTCAAGCGTACTGGCCTCTACAGGAGTTGACAACTGGGATCTCACCGCAGCACCATTGTGTACATGGTGGACATATGAACGGCGGTCTTTCGGCTCAAAAACAGATTGCAGTGACATTATATCGTTTACAGCAGGCGCCACTCTTGAGTCTAAGCTGACACTAGTATCAACTGGGGCTGTCGGAATTTTAAGTAGATCTTTCAGTGGTGGAAGTTGAAATAGCACTTCAACACCCTTCGCCTGTGTTGCACTGGGGTTGAGAGGTTTGATGTTGGTGTCGTGGGAGGGATCGTGCAACATCCCGTTCAAAATATGGCTCCCATCTTCTATTCCAAAGTTTTGAGCGGTGCTTCGAGGTGCCATAGGCGCCAGAATCGGCTCATAAGAGGGTAATCCTGCCGCCGTGGCAGTTTCTCGATGCGTTAGGAGCGTTGGCACATCGAAGGTCGTTAAGTTCTCAAACGGAACTGAGTTCCAGCCGATTTGGGACTCTCCATATAGCCCCAACGTCCACGGCATATTTGGTGCCGCAAGCTGAGTTGAAAGGAAATTGTAATTGCTTGCTGGCTCCGAATTTAGGGCAAAAATCCCTTCTTCAGACCAGGCCAGATTGCTGTCGAGTAGTTCGTTGACATGCCCTGAGCTTGATAATTCGATCCCTTCAAGCAAAAGATCAAAAGGCTGATTGAGTTCTGAAGATACAGAGTATTTCTGACTATAGTGGTGAATAGACTCTGGGAACCAATCTTCACCGGCTTGTCTTAAGTCTGTTATTGGATATGCCATCGTGAAAGAAGAAGATGAAGAAGAAGGTTAAGGGACTGAATGATATGGACTGGGTTGAGGTTAAGACAAATGTTGTTGATATTTGAGAGCGGTCAATCTGGTTGTTCAGGAAGTAGAATAGACTTCCGAAAAGGTGGGCACATTGACAATACTTATATAGACATCGAAACCCCTTTCGTCAATTGAAGAAATGAATTATCTCTGAGCTTATACCATAGAAAATGCACAGCCATAGTCTCTGCCTGCAATGTTTCACGATACATGGGGATTACGGAGCGATTGATCATGCAACTTCTATTCTTCGGCTCAAAGGTGGGTAGAAGGCGGTGAGTACTGCCAATGGCTGGTTGCCTTGAGAAGGCCATAGCACAATTATTGCTCAGCTCCGTATTTACAGCCCGCTACGTCCATAGAGAGCTCGTATCTGGATTCTTCAAGCATAGACTCGGGATAGGCAGCTAGCACGGACGGCGGCATAGAATGGCACAACAACTTGAGCGGTTTGTGATACAGCTTGCGTCGTCGACATCCTTCGATGAATTGCAAGAATCTGACGGGACAAGGTTTCCCAATCCTCCTTAAATCTTATTCATAATATCGAAACAATGTTCTGTGAATAGTTCCCTGTGTTGGATTACTACATTCCTGCTTTCTGGCTCCTCTACCGTGCTGCTTCTCCATTTCTCGCTCCTTTGGTTCCCTGCCACACGAGAAACTCGCAGAGCAGCGCAAGCATAGTAGTTGCTCCGCAGACAGGCTTTGTTTGACGAAAAAGTCTCGGTACGACCCAAGCTCGCTCACAAGGTTGCAGAAGTACGTGACATTAGTTAACAAGACATAGGTAGTCTTGTCGCAGCAAGATAGGCTGTTGTTCGCCAAGGACTAACTGTGTTATTCTGAAAACATGCTTGGGTTTGATTTGCAATATTTGGGTCTAGATTGAGCTCCGCCACACCTAATCTTTGATCCACCACTATTGGACGCTCCCCCTGTTATAATTATAGTCCCACGTTGTACCAAAGGAGAGATTCAGAAGTCCTGTCGACGGGTTGTCTTGAGAACCTACAAGTGAGGATAGCGGAAAGTAGATCCTAAGCACGGTTATTTTAACGTGATAATCGCAAAATCAACAGCAAGGATTGGCCACTTTCTGATATTAGTGCGCGGTGGCGCCACTAGATAATTAGATCTGTCTACTAAGTTTTACCCCATCGAGCTGTTCAGCGCCCCTATTACTAAATTAGAACGGGTAAATCAAGATTTTATATCAATTCAAACATAGAACCTTAGCTTAGGCTTCGTGGTTATCAATGATATCGAAATAATCAAGAGTGCCGATCAATTGTAATGGTCATTGGTATTCGAGTCCTCGAGGCCTCTTTCTTACGAATTTTTCCCGTAATATAATTTAAGCCACCATAGGCAATTAGATTTATTTCATCTGACTTAGACCATCCCAATAAAACTTGGCTCGAGGCTGAAACTTTCGACTGATCCGTGAAAAACTTCAAAGCAAGCTCCAAGAATCTTCCCTGGCTATCCCGAATATGGCCAGCCTAGTATCGAGCCGCGTACCCGAAGAAAGGGATGTGCTAAACGAGAGTTTTCGTGTTCTGTCCGTCCTAGCGATGATACTACGCTTGCAGGATGTAGCCGAAGAGTACCTGAAGTCAAGTTTCATCATGTATCAGTCATTGTATCACATCGGACTGCTCCGCCCATTGACACCCACGTACCCTAGTAGCACAGATCTCAACAGTTATACCTGGCACTAGCTGCTTTTAGCGACAGCGCGACGGCAATGCAACAATGTAACAATGATACCGACGTGACGAGGCTATCAGAAACCCGCCGGGTTTTTCAACGTTAAAGATAAGGTGGCATAGTGATTGTAGATATCAAGATCAAAAAATACAATTCTAAGAACGTTGTTTTCTTTGTGTGATTGCCCAAACCTTTTAAAAATTAAGGCTCTTCTGGTCACTACCCCAAACATACATTTTACTGTTGCAACCTTAAAAGGGTCCATGACACATCCATTTATAGGGTGATATTCGACATATATGCATATTCTTTAAAATAATAGACAAACAGGCACAAATTTTCACTAATATTTTACATTAACTCTGTACATGATGGCACAATACTATTACCTGAACCTGCATTAGACAAACGAACGAGCGCCCGCATATTTAGTCTATAGTCAGACTCCAGACATGATTCATTCGCGGCTGCTGCTTCGTGAAACTGTCAGACGACCATGGGCTACTCATATCCAAGTAGGTGATTATGGGATTTACTCTTTGGGCATGAAAATTCTTGCTACACGCGCCTCTTCCCGCTTCAAGCATACCCTCTCATTCTGCGTCGCTCCTTCCTTTTGCGGCGATAATCCGCGAGTACATCCAGGGCGTTGTTGAGACTGCTCCTCGGTAGCCATGTATACTCGTCGTAGCCTTCCCACTTTATCAAGTATTTTCTTTGTTTTCCTCGGGGCTTTCGGCTGGCCACCACTCTCTCAACTTCATATTCATCGTCATCCAGCTGTTCTCCGAGTTGCTGAGGCGCCACAGTATGTGGAAAGTGCGCTTCCACTGCCGATGATATTGTAGTAGCACTAGCCATCTCGTCCTTTTCTGTGGGTGGGAAGTGTTCTATATCTCGTTCAACAATGTGGTGAGTCATGTACGTACTAAATTCGGCAGTAAATAACTCACTGTTATTAGCAGGCATCCCGCTTTGTTCAAACTTCGCTGTGTAGAATTGAGGACTACTCTGAGATACAGTATTGAAGTCTCCAGTCCCCTGATCTGGATGTCTGGTGCCGAACTCGCGATGCCTATAGCTTGGGGAGATATCAATCGGCTCGGAAGGGCTTGGTGCTGTGGCCTTGGCTAAGGTGTCAGAACTGTATTGATATACCTCGGCACTCACATTCCGACCCATTCTAGGGCCGTCTTGTGTATAAGTTTTGTCGCTGGTGTTCATCTTGTACATTTCAAGCTGTGCTTCGTGGACCGCAAAAGTATCATATTCTGCCATTGAACATTCTTTAGAACATGGCTCCATTTGTCTTAGTCCATCAACATGTGAAATAGGATTATCCTCATTTGTGCTCGAGCTTTCGGTGGGATTTAGTAGTTTAGACAATAGCATTTCGAAGGATATGAAATGGCGCTAAGCGGTATAAAGGAATAAAGGACGGGAGATACGTTGTGAAAGGGGAAGCTCGAGATCTAGAGGAAGAAGCCAGAAAAATAGAACTCGTGCAGGATTCTATACGACTTTTTATATTACACTAGAGCCTTAGATAACATATGCACCGCCATCCAAGCCATGTCTACCTCGCTCAGGTTAGTATGCCTAAATGAGACGAATTTGAGGGGAAATTAAATGAAGCCCAGGCAGCAACTTTTACTGACTACATGAAAGTAGTACTTAAGGTTAATTATACTGTACGGTATTAAATTTTTGGAATATGAAAGTCTTTATTTAACAGGCACTTATGGCACACTAATATTTGAGGCCCTATTTCACCAATATATTAAACTTTGAGATGAATACTATAGACTTCACTATAGTTCCGTCGATTTGTAGTGCAAGCATTCTCCGCATCAGTGCAAAGAGACAGGATTAGTTGATTAGAAGTACCGCCTACTACGGAGAGGCTCCCGGGGATCTCTACCTATTAAAGCGCTATCCTAGTCAATACGCGAAAAGTAAAGATTGCTCCTAGACGCCAATCATATATCATATCAATGAAATGAGCACAAAAAAGTAAACAATATGCGAGCTAGTCTGTACACATGGATAAAGACTATTCAGGCCCCATTTGGCCCCGGAGTTAAGTTAGCTGCCACAAATTCCAACATATGTGTCTTGTAACAAAGTTACAGGAGCACAATGAGCACGTGAGCAAAGGGCAGAGATACAGGAGGCCGGTGGCTGGTGGTGCTATGCGAATGAGCTTTTGATTACGGGATCGGGCTAGGCCCGCACGAACTCCGTGCTTATATATACATGGAATATTATTATGCTATATATATCGTGACAATATATAAAGTATTGATGTCCATGTTCGAACGTTTCTTCACGTGATCATACCCACGACCATATTGGGTGGCATCTATTTCAGGGCCTTGGCTGCTTTCTGACCCGTAGACCGCAGCTAGAGTTTCATTAGAAACTAGATCCCGGTATATACCGATTCAGACTTACACCTAGCTAAAGTCCAAGCAACGGCTTACCAGCCCTTCCGACGTCTAGGTACGAAAACAACTAACGTAGGTCTCTCGTATAGTATATATTGGTCGTTTAATCCTAAATTACTTTGCCAGAAGGGGCCTGTTTTTCAATACCGTTCTAATCCAATTTATATGACGAATATTGGCCACGATATCGTATTAATACCGTATTACGCTACAATAACACCGGATTAATCCCACCTAGATTTCCGGAACAGCATATAACCAAAACCCTCCAAGGCCACTAGGTCTAGAGCAAGCAAGAGAGCGACGGCTGATGCAGTGGACGGCCGCGGCCGCCTAGGCCCTTGAAAGTGAGACGTGTACATCTTTATGATGGGACTTACATAACCTTATGTTGATATATTCTACATGGCTCTTGCGAAGTTGTTCGGGAAAATTAAAAAAATGGAATGTCGAAAACATATTAGATACAACTATAGCGTGATTCTAAAGCTACTTTCGTTCGGTGGTGGGAGTTCATGACACTTTCGATGACCAACCATTGCATCAACCGTCATAAACGACTGTCCCGGACAGTCTCCACAAATGATCATCATAAGACGCCCATGCTTTTTAGCCAAATGAGATCTTACCTTTATAACCCAATCCTTATAACAATAGTCAATAGCTCGTAATTTTAATGCCGCTGTACAGGAGTCAATATCGCAGCTAAATAGACTGGGTCGAGAGCGGGTCTCTCTGCACACATATGGCTCCCAGTCTTTGGGTATGACCAGGCTATCAGTACTCCCGAAACAGCCGGGTACGGAATTCGCATGCCTATTTAAGGCATGGCCGCTAAGGAAAACATTCGAGCAAAGATGACACTTATGCGCCTGTACCACTCTAGTATTCTAGTTAGATATTGATGTTATCGATCCCTTATTTACAGGAACAAGTATGCGTGCCTAAGCGGCGGCAGATATCAGATAAGATCGAGACTGGGAAGTAACATGAGAATGACTGATACGCAAGTAGTAGGCCAGCTTATAGTATCATACTTTTTTTATAGCAATCTTAGTATACAATATATAATGATTGTTGATATATTATCATTTACTATTAAAATTTTGTTTAGTCGTACCTGCAATGAAAAAGGGAAAAGTCAAGAGGGAAAACTGATATATGCGCATGCTCATTTGGTTCAATCGCGTTGCCATAGAAGATCGAGGTGTACATACATTTGTGGTATTTCTAGATTTGATCCGCCAACTCCTGGCTCAACAGACAAACTTGTATCTACTGGGTTCGTTCGTTCCTACTTGGAAATTCCAGCTCTCTTTCGAATTCTCGATGGTTGCGTCTTGTCTACCGTCGAGCTCCGATGTGTGTCGCGGAGAAACTGCAGCGCTGGCCGGGCGACCGATATCTAGGATAAGCAGATCTCGACCCGCGACGCATACACAACCCGTATTAGCCGAGGGAAAGTTGTTATCCATATCGAGCGTCATTTCCCCACCGGGCCTGGTATCATCCAAGGCTTGCCCGCCCGCCAGAAAACGAGCGTTAGAATTATAGAGCCGGAATTCATGCCAGAGCGCCAAAAGATCGTCGGACAGCTGGCGCAATGCCCCAATTGAAAATGACATGCTGGCCTGGACCTGTATGATTTCATCCTTTGTCATGTTCTTGCAGCGCCGCCCAAGGAGTAGTATAGTTGATTCCAAGCCAAGCAAAACGAATCGATGAACTTCGGGAATTTCATAGCAAAGCGCGAGTCCCTGAGGAGATAGAATACATCTGCGGAGTACGTCGATAGATGTCTTCCATGGTGAAACATCGGGAATCGCTTTTGGATGCTGGGAAATGGACAAAAGAAGCGTTTTAAAGCTGAGAAAAAAGTTCCGCAGGGTGATTTCCGTAGGGAGTTTAAGGAAACAGGTTGCGGTGAATGTCAATTCCCGTATCTCTTTATCCAGCTGCTGTTTATGAGCCGACAGATGGCCTAAATCCTGATTATCGGTCCTAGTCCTAGAATTCCTGTCCTTTTCTGATTGAAACTGTACCCCTTTATCGTTAAGAGTTGCTAAGAAACAATCGAGGACCGAAAAAGGCGTTTGTATAGGCGTTTCGGTAAACCGTAGAGCTGAAAGCCCTAGTGCCGCGGCAATTTCTTGACGTTCAAGATGGCTTCGTTGTCTGCTGTTCATGTCGTATGTCGAAAAATCCGGACGTATCAATAATGGTATGTAGAACGGACGAGTTAAAGATTGGGAATTTTAGGTGCGTCGCGCACTATCGAAAGGCAGAGTGCATTAGAATGTTAGACTTTCATCACATCGCATGATTATGGTAACTGACCGAAATAGAAATTTACCGATGAAATCTTATTGGATTGGATTTTAACAATTGGATTTGCTTGACATACCATCGCGGATTCTCGGTATCAACCAGAAGCTCGAAGATAGTGGCGCTAGGACCTGGTCTTATAGCCTCGCTATTACTGAGCCTGGTAACACTTGCTTGACCGAAAATTTGCGTGGAGAGTGCCAGGTGTCTTTCTATCCCGCCAGTAGAATATAGCAAGAAGGCCCCTATACTACGCAGGGAATGAGATGGGGTGCGGCTATATATTTTTGTAAATAAGCAGTCCGAATATCACAGTATAGAGTCCTAGCTATAGATTCGACTAGATCACACTTATCACTTACCAAAAGGCCGGATAACTGCGCTGAATTACAACTCCGCATGGGATATCCGTTATGTGTGTATCTGACCGCATATTTCATCTTCAATACATAGTCCATTCCAATAGCCTAGCGTCATTTTCTTTTTTTTGTTCTGAAACGGAACCATCTAAACCGATAATATGTCAGCTCAGTTTTGACCCAGCTACCAATGCAACCGCTCGCGCTCGTACGCAAAATGCAGTACAGGGCCACGTACAAGGCCACGTCATTCTCCGCGAAACGAAAGCAAAATATATACTCCCTACGCAGGCCTAAGAATATTTCACAAACACGGTTTGAGCCAACGCCGTCGGGGTTCTTAACCCCTTGAGTTATTGTACGAAGACGTCGCCAGTTAATATTAGACCTGTGTGGAAGCTCGTAGGACTGCTTGGAGCGATTGTAAATAGATATAAAGGTGAATGCTTCCCCCCTATGCTAACTCGCGTTTACAATCTTTTAAAGCACCTAAGTAAGAGGTGAGCGCGGGGCCGGTTTATTTCTAGGCAATTTCACGTATCGTTTTGCTATCATCTTTCTTGATGCAGATCTAAGCCTCTTTGAGGAGGCTTCTTGAAGCTGGTAGCCGGGAGCGGGTATTGCAACATGCAATATGCAGCAATTAAAATCTTTTACGCCTTCGCTCTCCTCGACAAACGTCTTCTCTGCTCCTAGCAAGTTTAAACGTTTAAACACAAGTTTAGGCCCCCAATTAGGTGCTACCTTCTTCCGGCGATTTCGGGTTTAGGACCCTTCCCAATTTAGCGTGGATACGGTGCCAAGTGCGGTTCTATCTAAAATTCAAAGAGAAGGAACCTTGAGAATAGCCGTAGATATAAAACTCGGCAGCCTTCACCATCGACACATTGGATTCATTGCAAGCTTAGGAAGTTTAACATTCTTGAACATCCAGCGGCAATGAAAGCCTCAACATACAGGCCTAGTTATTCAGCAAAGCCAAACTCGAAGAGGCCAATAGCATCCGGTGCTATCGCAGCCATTGTTCTTGCCTCGATTTTGCTAGTAATTATTGGGTATTTTATTTTTAAAAAGCGGAATGACTTAGGTGGTGTTCTGAGGTATGATCTTGGCTACAAATGTCGAAATCATGTTCGCTCGGCTTACCAGACCTTCTCATAGGCGATTTAGAGCACTAGATTCACGTACTTCCGCAAATAGGCACTCTAAACCTGGAGATGAGCATTCTTCCGGAGACATGCATCGGTCCGCAACTGGTTCTAGAGCAAGTGCGGATCGACTTTTCACTATCAACTTGGAGCCACTCATACGTGGATGATTCGATGGGAATCCCCCACGGCCCCAGGGAACAAAGTTTTAGCTAAATCGATGATATAGTATTAAGCTAGCAGCTAAGAGAACTTTGGATGGGGAAATGCTGATTATACATGTCCGTGTTCCATTGATATCAAACTATTAGCGTTGTAGGCTGGGAGTCTATACAAGCTAGACGGTGACTACTAACGTGTGATTTACTACCTTGCAATCGTTATATCCAATCATTAAACGGCCGAGAGCTCGGAGACCGGACAGAGAATTTGAGCTTGAAATTCCAGCATGCTCTAGCGGCAAAGGCCTTATCTCCATCAGAACTCCCCAACTCCAAAGTTTGAGATTTCTCCAAAAGGGGGGAGCGTGATTTTCTTGGGTTCGTCCCCCAAAATCATATCTTCTTTTCCTGGGGTCTTCTTTTGTTTCAACGGTATAACATGATTCTCCCATAACCAGACGGCTAGAGCGTCTGGCTCCGATATGGAGAATCCCAATTGGAAGATGTTAATCTGTGTTTGATGATCTTGATAGTCGACAAGCCCCGCAATTGCCCTTCTAATTTGCATCTGCTGTGAGGTTGTCAAGTTATCGTACCGTAGTTTGATCGGGTCTTCCTCAGAATAAAATTTTGAGAAGGATTCGCGGACTATAGAGATTTTTTTCTATATAAATTAGCACGATATTCAATACCCAACTCTGAATCGGACGCGAGATACTCTGAGATTTGCCCAATCCTTATTTTTTTGAGTTTGAGGGGTACCCTCTCCATAAATACCGTTTTTAACATCCTCCGCTGAAGTTCTCTTATCCTTGTTGGCCTCCCTCTGAGGATACACGGATCTGGCACTTGCTCTAAACGCTGCCTGATCAGCGTCCGGGAACGCTAGTTCCCAGTAACTATAGTATTCCCGCAATTGATCCATGATGGCCGGCCTAATTATTAAATCCCGACTTTGATCCTAATGGTTGTATTGTATGTCGTCGGTGTAGCTTTCTTTTGGGCTTACAAATTTGTTTTTGAGAGGAAATGCAATGTGGGGTATACGCGCTGGTAGCTATAGATGCAGCATCAAGGTGGGGTAAACTCTAAATGAAGTGTTCCACCACTCAACGCAAAAAGTCTGTTGTTTTTGACCGAGCTTCGATATATATAGGTTTCTGACTAACGGCATTCTGGGAACGAGACCGTCTACACATGCATATTTGAGATAAATATGTGAACGTTGCTGAAAATCTAATAATAACTACATGGATATATAGATGAGGCCTATGATTTATTTTAAACAATGAAAATACCATAAATAGACTGGAAAAAATATGGTTGTACGTGGCCAGCATAGGTGATTATCGTCGGGGGAGAATTAGTGTCAATTCCCACATAACATCCCTATAATTCTGAAAGCGCTTTAACCTGAGTGGAAAACCATTCGAAACAGGCATCAAACAGATATCATTTAATAGACAGGCAGATAGGTGTAAAATCAAACGATAGTAGAATAACATTAGCATGTTTACTTGTCGTTGATGCGATAGTTATAAATAAACAAATTGAATTATTTTGTAATTGTAGATATATACCGAAAGGACTGTACAAAGATTGATTGGGCGAGCTTCAGAGTTTAGTTGAAGGGAGTTTCCGTCATTGTATGAGGCTCCGGGACTAGTTCTAGCCAGGCTTTCACCAAATCCGGAGCTTGTAAAAGCATATCCACGTTGCCTTGGGCACGATCGAGGGTTATGGGAGATCCTTTCACGCAAAAGTGCTTTCCATCGACAATATCATCGTCATTATCGACCCAACTGCCGCAAGTTCGATAATATGGCCAAATCTCAGGTACAGCAGTTTGGAGACCGCAATGGTAGTTGATCCAATGATACCTAGGTGTTTGTGAAACTTCATCCCGACTGGCATCAAGGGGGGCTTCGAAGCTGCATAGGGTGCAAGTGTTGACCCCTTTATGGGCAATATCGTAGTGCTGAAGCCGCGCCCATATGTTCTTGAAGATTCGATCACAGTCTTCTTGGTAGCACGAGTATCCTGGTTCGGGATTCATACTTTATTAGACCGCTTCCTTCTTAGCCAAAGGTAATGGGTAGTGGGTTCGATGACATACCGTCGTTGGAAGATCCGTCTGACAGCACTTCTGTTGGACATTGGGAGTCCGGCGGTGTCATGGGATAGCTGAGATTGGCGCCAGTTAAGTTGGACGACAAGGTATTTGCACCCCTTAGATGTTGGATCTGTTGGGTCAATTCAGCGTTAAGTTGCTCCAAATGATCATTTTCTGCTACGAGCCGCTCGTTACGACGCATAGTCTTTGACATGCAGTCGTCCAAGTCGGTAATCTTCCAATATAGTTGAAGCAAGGTTGTATAGGGAGGGGAGCCGTCGTCGGTTACGTCGAAGTCGAAACCTCGTCTACGGATATACGTTAGTAGATAACTTTAGCTTCAAAGCGCGGGAAATTGGCTTACGGGTACTCAAGGGAGGTAGTAGTTGAAGTGTTATGAGCCATTATGTTGAAGAAAAGATAGCTACCTATGAGATCCACTGACTAATGCAAGATCAGGGTGAATCTCCCAATCGGCAGAGCACATCAGTCAATTTATAGAAAAAATTTTGTTCGTCAATCTTTCATAGTCCATGTTCTTCATCACTTCAAAATGATCAACACCTTCCCAAATCAACAAACTGGATAATAGCGGATGCCCTTGTTGGCTGTTTTGGTGTCGAGTAGTGCATGATTGGCTTTGGAGATAACATCTGGTTGTAACATCTACTCGTAATTTCGGATTTTTATCAGCGAGGCTCAGTGGATACCACCTTGTACTAGGGTTACCATGGCCCCCTCAGGCAGATATATTGCTTCTTTTATATACATTTGACACCTGACAAAAGCCCCAGCACGATTATCGAAGGATTGCCGGATATTGGCCATGGGCTCGGACCACGTCACTGTAGTTTCCGTCCAGCGTCTTCCCCTAAAGGATAGAATATTGAGGGAATAACCGACTCTAGGCGGTTGTATAACAGCCTAGAAAAATGGACGAGCGCAGGAATTCCGAAATTTCAACCTTTATTTGAGATAAAAGGTGGCTTGTGGGGGAAGTAACGAGTGGGGCAGAGTCGGAATACCCTAGGTGCTCCAGCGAGAAGACTCTATTATAAGGAAAAAGAAATTTCAATCGATATCGATATTGATACGAAAGGTACCTTTTGATATCATGCGACCCGTCGACAGCCGCTTCGTGGAAACGGGAATACCGCGAACGAGTCAATTTGACTGGGCTACCCATGTATATATGTCTACCTTCGTCAACCTTTGCAACCATTAGCCTTCATCCCAGCTCCAGCTGGGCCCTAAGAGGGTAAGCTCTCTCACCCAGACCTTTGCTTGGTACTTTGGCTGGGTTTGGGAGATTGGCTTGAGACCCGCCAAGAACCGGACGCCGAATGCTTCCTGTGCCGTTGGTCGAATACCTTCGAACTCCCTGGCTCTGTTTTGCTGGGGCTGACAGGATAGACCGCGAAAGCTGATGAAACCAGCCAATTTCGGGTTTCCTCACATCTCGAAAGCCCTCTCTAGGCAGAACTTTATGGCAAGTCTCGCATCATGGATCCAAGGCTGGGACACAAGACCAAACATGCAAAGCACAGGCGAAACCCACGAGAGTTGACGTCGGCTTTGGCCTGTATGTACAGATATTTGCGTGGAATATTCCTAAATGTTAAGACTTCACCAGCGCGGTAAATTTGTGACATAATCATCCCGCCAGCTAGATCTATAGGTCAATTCCTAAGGGGTCCCGATCTTTAATTTATGCGTCATTAATATACATCAAACCGGTCAAGGCCATATAAGTGGCGTAGGTTACCTCTAGACGAATCCATTCTCTTGATTGCTACCATCTTTGTAAAAGCGTCTTTCACCTCGATGGTTCGAACAGAATATTCGAGTTGGCTACCAGAGACCCTTCTCCATGTATGCACTGAATTACTAACACGACAATTTTCGTCTATTGTTAGATGGCAGACGCTGATCCTAACCTGCTGAACGTCTCGCCCCCCGATCACAATCAAAAGTTTCCCATAGATCATCTTGCAAGCAAGCCGCATTTCTGTCTCCGTTAACAGAGTATCAGGGTCCGACATTACTTTCGGGGCAATTTCAAGGATCTGGAGGGTCGGGCTAATGGTGGTTACCGCCTAATTAGATCGCGAAACCAATGATTAACATGAAACAACACTTCAACATACTCGAAGGCACGCTCGAGGGCTGCTTCATACCAGGTCTGTAAGCCTGCAGGGAGGGGCGCCGGTAATTCTTAGAACCTTTAGAGGCAAAACGGGCGAAACGAGTGCGGCGAGGTTATCAAAGACCTTTAACCTACGGATTGGATAGGTTACATGCAATACGGCCAGCGAACCCAGAGACTTCAATGCAGTCATAAGTAACTGAGTGTCGTGGCCATCCATAAATATTGTGAGGTCCGTTATCAAACTAAAAACGGTTGATAGGAGAATACCCTGATCGGGAATGTTCGAAGGCTTGAATGATGAAGCTGGCGATAAATTGATGAAATCAGTAGCTGTTACCTGGGCCCCGTTTATTTCGTTCTCTTGAGAGGTTGATATAAGGAGGTCGTAGAAGGCTAGGGCTCGGTCAGTTATTTCTCGAAGATCATATGCTATGCTCATCAGCTGACCTTTGCCACTACCGACCCTCCCCCAGCCGGTCTGGGTCGTCCGCTCTTGGAGTTCATCTTGGAACCCGTTTGTGCTTGGAAGAGACGTTCTAGTCCCCGCGGCAACAGCTCCAGGTGGGATTATCAGACGGTTGTTAATAATGAAGATATCAGAAAGAGATCTTTGGGGCATATATGGTAATATTCCTCTATCTAACGAGACCAGCCTTCGCCGTCGCTCTTCGATGGGCTGACGTAGTTGGTACCGGAGATGCTTACAGCACTGGCTTAGTAACGCCAAGGATTTGTGAGGGAGATAGGCACAGATATCTAACAAAATTTCCAAGGGGGAATTTGTGAGGTAAGGCATCATTGAGATAACCGCGTTTGGATTTCTTCGTCAATAATCAAAAAGCAGACGAATAGATGAAAGGGATTGACTGATGAAGGTGGGTGATCGGTGGGCATACAAGAGGTGTGGTCACTTTCAGCTTGAGGGTGCCTTAGCATGGGCATACCCTTGAATTTGTATCCCACGATTGCGAAGCCTCGCAATTTGAAAATACTCCATTAGGGCCTTGATAGTCGTACATGCACCCGGTTACGGAAAGGTACCTGATAGTACAGCAAGGCATCGCATTGCAGTTTTGCAGTTTAGCAACACATCGTGCTGTTGCAGTTTGTGAGTTTGTAACCTTTGCCAAGATTTATGCCACCTCACTTAGACCACCCCACAAAAACTCGTTCCAGGAAGCCACACGTGTGCCTGGTGAGGAGTAGGGTTAATCCTTAGAAACCCGAAGGGATGTCATCGTCGGAGAGCAGTCAGCACCCCCCAAAGGTTGTTGACTATCGTTTAGGAACAGCTACTAGGAAACCTACCGTGAAGAATGTCGAAACAGCTTTCCAAGATTCTTTCTGGGACTGGCATAAGAACAGTTTCAGAGCGGTGTTCAGCATTCTCAAGGTAACTTTTGATAAGATTTCAACGCCAACTTATCCACTGTATACTAATACTAGATATAGAAAGAATGCAAAGTTGCAATTCAGGAGCTACAGAGACAGGGAGATCTCTACATCAATGAAATATCAACATATAAGGACCAAAGTCCATACGATCGGCAGCTGCTGTATACACAAGTCAGGGACCAGATCTTAGCAGATCGGGCCGGCGCTGGGCCGCAAAAATATCATAAATATAACGACCTCCTGTTACAAGTTTTGAGTTGTACGAATAAAGACTACCTTTCTTTGGACGAGCCAGGTTGCGGGACGGATAACTGGATGATCGGGATCTGTTTCGATTTGAGGATGCAAAATGACAAAAGAAAAAAGTCTACGAATCCTCGATCGCTTGCAGAAGAAATGTTGGATGAAAGAGACTCGGGGATAGGGTATGCAGAAGGGTCACAAGGGGGAGCATTAGGAGGCACGAGACACTCAACCATTCACGAGATACTTAACCGGGAGGGTGATATTGACCACTCTCATGCCAGCTCTGTCACAAAATGATGAAATATGGAAATATGATCATGAATTCTCAAACACTTGTATGCCGAAATTAACAAACTGTTTGCTATTTCGAAATTTCAGCCTGAGACTAATTTGTTAATTGTCTCGTAAGACCAGGTCCACTTAACCACATCCGTCCAACTGCATTTCCGGCTTGACCGCATTTCCGGCTTGACCGCATTGCTGCCTTGATTGCATTGCTGCTTTGACCACATTTATGTTTTAGCTACATTTCCCCAACTACCGCATTTCTACTTCTGCTACATTTCCTCAACAACCGCATCCTTCCAGCAGGCCTTCTTCCCTCTCCATACTGGGTACGAGACCACCCCATGCCAATAAAACAATCAATCGCACCGAGAATCAGCTGGCTCTTGAGGTAACTTGGCAGACCCTGCTACCGCCATGCGGATTCTTTGCTTCAATCTCAAGCCTCCTTGAACGGGTCAATCATGTATATGCACTATCCTTTGTTTGCCTATCGCCAAAAGAAACCCACATCCTCAAAAAAGTTGCACACATTGTGTTTGTACCATGCATAAATCTTCCCTCTTCACGATTGCAGCCATGGCTCCTGCATTCCATCGCTTGTTATTACTCACAATTCGAGGAAATGGGGTATGCAGGGGATTCTAACATATGACTTAGACCTAGCTAGTGAGATGTGCGGGTACCGCCTGTTTTGTAGAAAACACGGCACGTTGCATGAAATCATAACCTCCAGCCCGCGCTGAAGGAAACTAAAAGAGGTGGCGCTGTTCATTGGTTTCAATTACCACTGAAGGGTGAGGAACGGCGAAAAAGAAAATATAGTATCTTAGATTCGATTTGTCATTCGATCGCTGTCACTATCGACACCTACCACAGGCATTCGAACGCCAAAGTTGAACCCGCGTCCTAATAGCCCAAATCGATCGGTATTGAAGTCTCCCTGGTCTCATACCCAGACCGCACAAAGTGAGTTCCCCCATACATCCTGGACATTTCCCAACACTGTCAACACGGTATTTTTCTTCGGGAGAGCTTTGAAAGTATATACTAGGCTGATGATGGTGAGACCAAAATTAGGATTCTTAGCGGAAGGAAGGGCATAATGGAAATATAATAGCGCGAGACCAGAGTAGTTTTAACACAATGTCAATACCCTCAATAATTCCACTAGTAAATCTATCTGCAGTGGACCGCGGTACCGCGATTAATTTATAAAACGCGACCGCAAAGTCCAACTCATCTGGTGAAACCCAATTCCTGCGTTTGACTGATGTATTTAAGGAACCACGATCTCGAGATAATCACTCGTTCCATATGTCAAAATTATACTCTACCACTGTCAACGTTTACAAAGCCCTTAGAACTTTATCATTTCTATTTCCATAATTGAAGCAAGGTCTCTGCGCAGCCCCGGAACCCGCCGAATCCTCTACCAAAAGCATTTAAACGAAAATTATTTCGGAATACCGCCCAGCCCCAGCAGCTTGAGCCCAATATCCGAGAAACAGCTATAGGGAGTAGATTGTCTACACGGCCTGCGCCAGCCGAGCCGTTGGAGGGGAATTTAAAATCGCACATGAAGCCAAGATCGAAGCCCCAGACGACTATTAGGTGGTCTGTAAGCCGGAGGGAGAACTACACGACGATATTGAAAATTCTGCCCTTTCCTGGCTTGAAAACATTGACAACAGACGGCCCGAAGACTCCTCTAGATAAAAGGCGCTTCCCCACACATGAAGCCATATAAGGTGATTAGTAGCTATAGATTCACCAGCGCTGTATTGGCTATATATCCGCTAAAGATTCATTGATAATTGTTGCAGTGTATACAGAAGTCCTGTAGATCTATATCCCAGGCCATTGCTTTCAGATTTGCGACTTGTGTATATTAATAATTGTACTTCAAGGGCAACAATGCCACCGGCGCATTCTGATTAAGCGCTAGCATCAGTGCGATTTTTAACATATTTTTATACATATAGATGGAGGCAATAGCTTCATAAGGTCCACAAATGGAGTACTTATAAGGTAGCGACAAAATAAATACCGTAAATGTACATAACTACATGCAACTCTACTAATGATATTTAAACATACGCATTGATGCATTAGTACGGGAGCCCTCTGGGAAGCTTAACACTCGGTAAGATCAGCGTATACGCTGTCGACAACATGATCCAAATTGGTTCCAGAGTTCGACCACTCGATCGTTCTATCTTGCCATGCGACCTCCGAGTCCCCGCCACTCGTAATTCTGGAAAGCGGTATGTCACTGGCAGAGTTGCTTGGAGCCCGATAACATGCCTCTAGATCCCCGTCTTCAGCAATTTCGGATTGGATGATTTTTGGTACAATGTTGCTAATAGCGGGGTTGTTAGCCTTCCAATCATTCGGTTCCCTATTCCGAGATATCTGGATGGGAGCACCTACATTCTGGGGTTGCTGCTCCGGCTATCCGAGTTCAAAGTTTTTGCCTTCTTATTCCGGGGCCGGTTCGCTTTTATTGCGTACAAATTGCTCCCTGGACGGAGACTTTCTATATGACGCAACAGTAGTGACAGCACTAGTTCCTCAATTTTGAAAAACAGTATCGCGGACTAATTGGTTTCGGCCGAAGCCAGTCAGTATGGAGATCCAATAAGTGGGTTAGCAGTGACTTGCATGACCATCTAGAACCAAATCTCTTTCAAGTAACCTCCTAAACCCCGGCGTAACCGAAATGCACACACTAAGGATTAAAAAAAAACGACTCGAGCAGCGACGTAGCATTGCAACGAAGATTTCCAGCGACCTCCAGGTCGGATACCTCCAGCGTCTGAGGGCGAGGCCACAGCCTTCTGGAAGAATGAATACCAAACTACCGAGGAGGCGCAAAGATAGCCGCTACCATGAGGGCACACCGGACGATAACCCCACCTATGAACACGGACAGGATTTCAACGTTAGCGACGCTTAAATCTCACAGCATAATGCTCCTGAATTCATGGGCAAACCTGAGCGCCGTAGCAGCAATATCCAATATTATAGAGATTATAAAAGTTGAGATAAAGACCACGTCAAGTGTTGGCAGAGAATTTCGCATCGGCATCTACCATCAATCAGTATATATCAAAGACATTTCGCAGATATAACCGATTCTTACCAAGGACAAAAGTCCGCAAATGAGTTCTACCGCCACCAGAGTATCTATTGCTATCATTACTCTGATTTCATGGTGACTTTGAAAGAGTATGAAGATCCGGAGAGCTAGGATTGTCGGCAAAAGAGCCGTTTCTGTGCAGGCGAGAGTATTTAAGTTTAAAAACTTAGAAGACGATTTCGCTGATGGGGGTATCTGGGATAGTCGAAACGGGCCACGAAAGCAGACCATCGCTGCTAGACAAAGACTACCTACAAATACTGGCTCCATGATACAAAATTGGTTCTGGCCTAAGACTTGATAACTAAATTCAGAAAGGTGAGGAGAGACAACGAGAAAGCACTGGTAAGAATCTAGGAGGGTAAAGGAAGTGGGCGACGGAGAAGGGTGGTATCTGAACTTTGATATAAGGAACGCCCCTAACCCGTACCCCCTGCGCTCAAATCCTTTACATAGGGCCGATGAGGGAATTGAAGAGGGGTTGAGGTAGGTTAAGGTAGGTGAAGGTTACTCAAATGTGCGGCTGCACCGAAGCCGTCTTGGCGCTGCCAGGCCCCATCCGGCCCCCTTTCGATCTTTGGCAATAGACGGGGCTAAGATGTGAAACCGAGCCAACTATTGTGACTGATTTGAGCCCTTCCAATCCACACGGGATTCCAGGCCGGAAAAAACATGTATTTAAGCCAGCGTCCGTTCAGAATTAAACTAGTATCCCTTGAGAAATACCTTCAACATTTAACATTACGGCCAGACACTCGCAAGCCTATCCCAACCAAACAACAACTTAATCATCAATCCCGAAAGGTTTAAAAGCTACCATACCCTTCGGAGGCACCAGCACTTGCGAAGAAGTAACCATCGGTATGTCTTCGGAAGCTGAAAATATTAATGGGACATTACACCCATATGCTACGCATAGGTCAAATTCTTCGGTGCGGCGTGTGAAGTCTTCAAATGAAATCTACGCCGCTCCTCTGAGTACGAGACCAGACGATCCTGGATATTTTGCAATCACAATGGTCAAAAAAGCAACTCAAGCGATGAGCACGGCGCGAATTGCCACTGAGAGATTGAATCGATACCTCTATCAACGCGATGCCGCGCAAGAGCAGGAATTTCAAATCACCTGCTGTGACCTGGGACGGAGGGCCTGCTGTCAAAATCTCACCTCTAGAACCCTACCGGATGCGGCTACAAATTTGAATCCTTTGACGTGGTCACCAAATTTACTCTCCAGTCCTTCCCCCACCGCCAAGCCATAGTATTCAACTTTTGCAACACTGACACGAGCTCCAACTATATATGGCGCGAATTAGCAACGACTATGCTCAAGGAATTCTTCGGGCTTTGTCCTAACGCCGTTTATTACGAGCCTACCGGTCAAAGGGATTGGACAAAAGGGGTTTGAGATAACAATTTCGAGCGCGGGTGGAGGAGGATTGGATTGGCTAGGCACTGAACAGGGGTGTACTATGTACAGTAATTGTTTCCAAAATGATACAATGGTTGAAAGAGTGGAATTAGATTGACCTTGTAGTATAATGTGAACTCTTGTTCTTAGAGATACCCGTCTATCCCCGGTTTCCGGCTTGGCCTTGAATCTAGGTGCTTTCTGCTGTGTCAGCTATATGATCAAATCTGTCGCCTTTTGGGATACGTTTTGCATCGATGTAGTCAAGGAAGTGGGTGTATGAAGCCCTTGCCACTAGAGGGCCTTGTGACTAGCACCTACCTTGCTTTCTACATAACGGGAATGCACACCACGTAGCTCATACCAATGTTTTGCTTTTGCCAGCTCCTTGGCATTTTCGGGGTCAAGAGGACTCCCAGACGTTGTTTCTCTGCAGCTCCCTCTTGGGGCCTTATCGGACATGGACACGCTAGATGCCAATTTGACATCGAGGCGTTGCCGTGCGATAGTGAGCTCGTAAAAATAACATTGAGTTACTTTCTAGAAATTGCCCAGCGAGTATTTTCGCGATAGACGACCAGCTTAGTAGAGTCAAATATGCGTCTCGAGATCTCACGACGTAAATCCTCCAAGCTCTTTGGTCCGTCCAGCGTCTGGGACGATGTGGTCCTTGGAATCCACCTTAACCCGTCTTAACCTACATTAACATATCTCAACCCCAGGCACGAGGAACCGCCAACCTAGCATTGGAAGTTTCATACCCATGAATCAGTCCTGTTGTGCTCCGTCCTGCAGAGGATACCCAAGTGGCAATTTTCCAACTCTCTGCGTCTGCGTCCGCGTCCGCCTTCGAGCTCCCTACCCGCTGCGAGTACGCTTAGATATTTAGTATATATCCGAGTCGCAGCGCGAACATGAACGTCTATTCAACGGAGGAATAACTGCTAGGCCAATAGTTGAACTAGGTCTAGACAAACCGGTGTCGGAAGCACTAGCCACTGCGAAAGCCTCAAGGATGGCGCGAAACACATGCCAGAGTCTGCCAAGCCGCCAAAGCCGGAAGCGTAAAAACACAACGCAAAAATCGGGGTGGCGACCCCGCCAACAAATAGGGATCGCAAACTCCTCCAGAAAACGTCAGCGCAGATCAACATCCTCGACCCTACAACCCCCACCTGGAAGCATGGCGTTAATGGCTGATACATGCCGGAAATTCTGGGAAGAAGAAATCGAACCGGAAGTCCTTGCGGCCTATGATGAAGCCTATGAGCACTTCCCTCAAAGGGATGGGCCGCACGACCGACCTCGCGTCTGGTCCTCAACCGCGGTGAGGATAAAACTGTATGGGGCCCCGGAGCGTTCTAGACGGTGGGGGCGACTAAGAGTAGGTGGTTCGCGGTAATAATTCCCTTCCTTAGCGAGTCTATGCTCACATATTTAGACTGCGGTTAGGGAGATTATAGATTCTTTCATCAAATTCTACTTGAACGCAGAAAGCAGTGCAGTTCCCCGACCCATTCTCGGAAAAATCAAATTCTTTAGTATAAAAACGAAATACGCCATACGAATATCAAAAGCCATATACGAAGTGGACGAATACAAAAACCATTTCTCAGATGGTGCACTACACCCACATTACCTTACTGGGTGGCTGTGGGATAATCGAATAGCTACCTTGGTGGAAAAGGCGCCCCTTGATTTCGATCCGAGCTCAAGATACCAAGAGCAGCACTTTCTGCCGTCGATCAAGGAATTATGCCTTTTGCCGTAAACCCGAGGCCGTGGTTCCCTGGAACGGCGCTGTTGCATTGGCATAGATTGTTCTGGCATGTCTTCTCGCCCGAAATCCGTTGGTTTCAAGATATAACATATCAATGTGGATTTAGAATTCTTATACAATCTCAAAGCTATAGCATACATTCTACCTATTTTCAATACCACGTAGACAAGAACCGTCTTTATTTCAACAGCCCCGATTCCCTTCTTACAAACTCGTTTGCTAAGACGGTTTCTATTTTTTCCAAATACTCGACTGGGAGAGAGTCGAGACTATTCATATCGGCAACTTGCACGTATGGGTCACCCCCTTCGTCGGTAAGCCTTTCGTGAAGTTTATTTCCCTCTGAGCATAACCTAGCAACCTCCTGTCTCGTGTCATCCTGGAAGCCGAAACAGTCGATTTCCTGATGGATGATCTCGAATATCCAGTTTCCCTTCAGTAGACCTATCTTTTTCTGACTCTGTACGTCGAAAAAGCCCAATGCCAAGTTTAATAGTATGGTTTTCGGGTCCGGATCTTGAGCATCTAGCGGTAAGTAATGGCAGTAGTTTTGTCTAGCGGGAGATCTTGCACTGGTCGCGCAGCCCAAGAATGTTTTGACGTAATCATGTCCCTTAAGATCGAAAGCCCTATGAGACAGTGTCATAGGTCCCCTACTATTCGCAAGAAGTATCGCGGCACAGTTGTCTGGCGAATGAGAATGGTCCGTCACAGTACCGGCAGGAGTAGGCGGGGGGCTGGTTTTTCGTAGCAAAGGCGCTATTTTTGAGGCCGAAGGAAACAGCAGATCAAGCCTATCTTGAAGTCTATGATTTTCTTCTTCTAGAAATTGAATGTAACCTACTCAAATGTTAGCGTAGTGTATCTATTTAGGGCGAAAAGTTGCTTACCTAGGCGCAAGAGGGACGCGAAAGCTCTTTTTTTGGCCCGATAGAACGCTACAGGGTTAAGCTTCTGTTTCTTCCGGTGGGCGAGCGATTTTTTGGAGGTAGTGCTATCGCCGCAGCGGTATTTCGAAGTCCGGCGAAGCATGTCGAAGAAGGGTTTTTTTTTTAATGTGAGATCATTTATGGGCTTGAAGATGTTCACCTCGCGTTCCTGAGGGACTTCTTATAAGGACCCTACCGGTGTTGCCCAGGCTCCATAAAAGTCTGAGAGCATTTCCTAGGCCCATTTCAGTCTCGGAACCAAGGCCCATTTTGCCCCCCCTAACCCTTTCCCCCTTCACCCCTTCCCCCAACCCGGCTCCTCTATAAAGCATACCATCCTAGGAAATTGGCCACCTTCATCTCGTTTCACGCCCAACTCCCCGATTTGTTAAACGAACTCGACGTTTCTAGGCACCCAGCTCGAAGCTCATGCAAGTTTTATCTGTCGATAAAGTGCCTGGAACGCCATATCAATTACGGAATAAGGGTGGATAAGCGAAATGAATGAACTTGAAGCCAAGGCCAAAGCTGTCGCAAGGCGACGCTGACTAGGACGGGCTCAAAAGGAACTAGGGTAAGACAATCTTCGGCGAGATTTCATACCCCTTGCTTAGGCAGGTCCCCAAAGTTGAGGGAGCCTGCCCTAAATTATCCGGAGTGATCTGTTGCCATAAGTCTAAAATAATGCAAAAACTGCCACCAGCATGCTCGAAGTTTGGTATCGAGAGGAGGATCAGGCTGGTCTCATACCCAGACATCGCAAGGGCTGGTGAGACCAGACCAATATTCATGTTACGCTTCTGCCCTGATTCTTCCAAACTTGAGAAGAGCAAGTTAGTACCCAATGTAACGTTATGGAATACCCAGCTAGACACGAGTTGCTATCATCCTTGCTAAAGATCTTAAGAGCGTCGACATTCAACACGTGGATCACAGACCACGTACGGCCGTCTGTATTTTATTTAATGTCCCTGCATCGGGGTGAGGTTTCGGCACCATGTAGGAGCTTCGGATTTTGATTCCGGGTAGATTATCAAAGACATCCTTTTTCGTTTCGCTCCGTTCTATTCTATTTGATTATTTTCCTAATTCGCAACGGGAAATAGACCTTTGCGAATGCTACTAACTTTAACATCTTGGTTTCTAGTTTGAGAATGGGTCATTAGAGCCCTATCCCCTCGAAGGTGACGTACGGCAATATATCGGGACAAGGAGGATCGAAGTCACACCGCAAAAGCGGTGAAACTGTGCGGGGTTTGCTAGCGGGCTGGTACGTACTGGCTTCTTAGACTCGGTATTGCACTATACCGGGCCTTGCGCTGTTGCATTGTGTAGCACAAGGTACCTTGCCTGACCAATAGGACTGCACCTTAACATACCTTAACCTACCTCTATTCACCTCAATCCCAATTGCGTTGTGCAAATAATTTCGCGAACACATGTTTGACAGTTTGCCTAATCAAGCAGCGGGCCAGAAGAAGGAAGTAGACCCAATTAGGTCACGAAGACGACCTCTGCATTGCCCCAGACTACCACCGCCTAGTACTATATCGATATATCCCGCCTACGGGTCTATAGCCTGCGGTATAAATTCTCCAACTCAAAACAAACCCTCCATACCAGAACTACAGGCATAATACTACAACAGAGTGGTAATCGACAGTACATGCATTAGGCATCGTTTCTCTCTTTGATTCACATTCACACCGTCCATGCACACCGCTAGACACTATCCGCCCTACTAAATCGGCCCACTTTCATATGCAAATATAGCAGTAATTACAACAGCTATAGAATAAAGAACGTAGAAAATGGCAATACGAAACTAATAAATTACGGTACTGTTGAGATTATATTTTCAGGATGTTTTTTGAGATACCTACTACTGTCGTCGTTCGTGGGCGGTGGTTACGTTGACCAGCCTGCTCTGTCCACTTGTGACCTTGCACTGTGCTGCACAGTTCATAATTTCGCTCGAGCTAATGCCCTCCGAGTCTTGTTATCATTGTAAGCTTACGTTACATAGGGTACAATGACGTCCTGGAATCACCTATATAGGCCTATGTAGATGAAGTGAGAGTAAAGCATCCTCGCCCTCGATCTCTAAATCTCCGTAATTTGCTTAGTTTGGAGGCTGGAAAACCCCATCCATCAATTTCAATATGAGCACTAATATTGATTTACACCATGCCGAGCCAGCACCCAAATTACGAGATCACAGACCGTATTACTATAGTTAGAACAAGGGAAAGCATTAACAGGACCAGAAGAAAGGGGCTTTTGTTACGACGAAGACGAAATTATTGGACGAAGTAGGATGCCATGGAGGCCGTACCAGGATCGGACGTTTATTATGTTTGCAACTGAAATCCCGCGGAAGGTGTACTTGTTAACCTTATGGCGAGTGAACGAGAGTGGGTCAGGTGTGCTGGTTGGTGCATGTAGTTGCTATTGGGCTTGGTATTCGAATTGCCACAAGCCCTCGGGACGATTTCATATTATTCCTGAGTGTTTCTTGTAATCCAAGACTCTAGTGCAGATGTTGGATCGCGCTCGATCAGCGATATTCGAATTAAGACGTCTCGACGTCTCAGCTGCGCCTGCTGCTAGATTCGTTACGTTACAACACAGCTTCATGTTGTAGATTTTACTCAAACCTTAGGCTTCAGACGCCAAGGCCCAAGAAATAAAATGCAACACAAGCAACACAGGTATTATTGCGAATATATTGGTCTCGTACCATAGAATATATCTAAATTACAACGACTGCGCATTGCAGCTTTGTCAAAAATATTAAAATATATGCATATATGAGATAAAAGCCTTCCTCAATCGCAATTTTGCTTCCAGTTTTCCAGCACCAGGTATACTTCAATGAGCAGCTTCTATCCTTTTAAACGTAGCCTACAATTGCGCCAATTCCCAATGTGGCCAAGAATTTTGATTGTTTTGGGGGTTCTTTCCTTTTGGGATTTAAGATACCCACTAATTGAGTGCCGTCAACTGATTGTGTAAATTTCAGGTATACTTGTCTTTGAGGCAAGTGTACGAGAATTATGCCCTTGTCCTTTGAATGGGCTGAACCCTGATAGTCACCTACGGGGCCGGTTTTTTCTTTTCGCTTAGTCCATGTTCTTATATCGATATATTATTAGGTTGTAATGGCGGATCCCCACAGTTTGGGGCTTTGCTGGGTGCCGATCCGTCATTCCGTCGTTCTATTCACCGTATTCACCGACATCTAATCACATGTAAGTTAAATCTGTGCCTCTATTAGAGCTTTACGACGTAGGTGATGAGAGAGCAGTGTCAGTAGAATTATGTCTAGGTCTGGCTTTTTTTTCCCTCGTCTGATACGCTTTAGTGGTTGGGACGACGTAATATCATCGGACGACAGTAGTAGGTCACTCTCAAGATTCCTTTTCCTCCTCAATAACCCGTAGCTGGAAGAATTTCGTTGATTCTCGGAGCTCCTTGCCTAGTGGCTTGACCCCATCTCCGCGACATCATACTTGCTTGGGTCCGGTCGAATATCCGCTAGATGTGTCATTTCGCTAAAGTCCTGAAACGAGCGCCATAAAATCTTCCAGGTATCGCCAGCCCTGCAAATGCATGATCTGCTCATCGAAGTGGTCATAGCCTTATCTATGTGTCGTGATTCGATTAACCCGGAACTTCGCCTCGGGGGTTCTACTTCGGACTCAGTATCCGTCAACGTCTCCTTCGGCTCAGATTGTGATCGGATTATGTGTCCGTGGTCGAGTGCGATATACTCATTCTCAATATCGTTCGAATTAGCGCTTGCTGAAGTTTAGGTTGTGGGTTGTCTTATACCCAGGCTGTAAAGAGCTTCTTTTTACACAGATTCAGTGTTTTGCATCTTGATTCTGCTTATTCTTTTATATTTCGAATACTCGGGGCGGGAGACTACCTCAGTACATACCATATAATCAGTTCTAGTTTCTCATGTATTTCCACAACTTTTCCTTAAGCGCTATATGTATACTAGCTGGCCACTTGCGGCGGCGCTTGCACCCTGGAGCTATCCAGCTGTAAACATCCAAAAAAAAAAAAAAAAGGTTGTGTCAATGGAAAGGGGTTCTCGATCGCGATATAGTTGGGCCGCATAGGCCGCCTTGGTCAGTACGAAAGCTGTCAGGGCTACCTGAATGGTTGAACGGGATTTCCACAGCGGCACATTTGGCAACCTTAACCTAACCAATTTAGGTGGGATGCGCTTGGAGCCAACACAAATCTACGATGCATAAGTTATCCAGCTACCCTTGCATCAACACCCGCATGCCAGCAATGTTTTCTTTTGATGCATGGCCAGGCCAGGTAGATGCTACTTTAGGTCCTTAGCGTTTTCATGGTTTGGACAATTCCCGGTCGGTTCCCTCAACCTCCCTCAACCTCCTTTAATCTCCCTTAATTTCCCTCAAGCTCCCCCAACCCCCCCTGTTTCTTATCAATGCAAATTAAGCACGGCGCGGATATTGAGGCACTCGGTTTGCGGCTTAGAGAACGGCATAGGGTTACTAGACCTGAGGCCGAGTGATGCCTAGGTCTGTTTCGAACTATATTTTGTCCCCATCCCCTTCCTTTCAATTGTGAGCCTAGACGCAACTTAGCATCGGACGATAATCTGCGACTCCATAGCTCAACCACACAGGTTCTATTCTCGCCCTGTACGAATACTCCTCCTTTCTCTTCCCAGAATTAACTGAACAAATGGATACTAAAATTCCCGATTTTAGACAATATTCCACGAACGTTGCTCAAGAGCAAGCAATGGAGAAATACTCAATGCTACCACTTGACACATTCGTTGAATACGAAACCTTTAAATCTATATGGCTCGCTATATTTATGGGGGCCAATGTTACCCTTAGCGATATCATGAAGGCAGCGTACCTGGTCATCTATCAACATTTCGAACCTACGAGATCACCACCCCTTTCAATTGATGGTAACTGGGCAGTGTCTCTCTGTCAGAATTATAGGATTTCGGTCAACTGGACTGGTTATTCCGAGGTCTATGACCTTGCCTCACAGCAGCAACTCACTCGTGAGGATCATATGGCCCTACGTGACTTCATCAAACGCTTCCTCGATCGAAAGGATACCCCAGAAATACCGTCTCAAGAAGCCCAAAATTTTGATCAACTTCTCCCCACTGCCAGACTACCATCGGGAACGAAGGGATTCCCCATCCAGGAAATGAAATATCCTCTTCCTGTTCGTTTTACATCTATTTTCACGGGCTCGGACCCATATACCGCGGAAAGTCTCCAGTACTTTTTAAAAATAGCTGCTGAGAATTCTTTTATCAGGAGTCTGAACTTACCAGCTTTTGAGGTGTTTGAGTGCGCCGAAGACGACGTCGTAGCTCAACATGATGTCGTAGCTCAACATGATGTTGTAGCTCAGAGTCTGAACTTACCAGCTTTTGAGGTGTTTGAGTGCGCCGAAGACGACGTCGTAGCTCAACATGATGTCGTAGCTCAACATGTCGCAGCTCAACATGATCCCACACCTCTAGAAATGTGTTGGTTGGTTCCTGCAGACGGAGTTTGGTTATTCAGTTCCACGAATATCCAATAAGGCCCCTGTGGCAAAGGTTTTTGATGAACTGTATAGTTACCCAATACAATAATCTCACAAACTATCGAGGGCCAATTTGTTTTTTCGATTTCAATCCCTCAGAAATTTTAAAATTACTAAATCTATTACACTCCCAGGCCTTAACAGAGGAGTAGTCTGCGCAAAAAACAAATGTATATATTAAATTTATTGAAGTGGTCTTTCTTTGCATGAAAATATTCTTGCAAGATATCCCTATTCGTTCTACGCTGCTCCTTTCCAAATGTGCCAGTTTTAGCCCCGAACCTTCTTAGAATTAGGCGGATACCTGTCGAGGAAGGCGATGGTGCTTACGAGCTAGATCTGGTTATGGAATTGTTCAGTCCCATGCCATAAAGCAGTCCACACATCAACCTTCGGATCTTTATGTTTTATTCCTTTTCTTCCGAACATAGATATAATCTATGTTGGAACTTCGAGCTCAGTGTTTCGCTAGGATATGAAAGAATGAAAAAAAAAATGAAAAAGAAAAAGTCAAGAATGTATTTCTGAGTGGAGTGGAAATATGCATGACATTTGCACGGTCATGTAAAGCAGGGGACAGTATCCTGGGATGGATATCGGTTGATACCTGAGCGTCATTCTACTTTAAAGCTGCGGAGCTCTGGAGTTGTATCTAATATACTAGGATATTGATAAATAAGATTTAATTCGTAGAAGATATATCAAGACTTTTGATAAAAAAAGAAGAAGAAAAGCCTCTTATTTGCACCTGGTCTCGACGTCTCGAGGCTAACGCAGCGCGAATGAGAATACGTGCGGTTGCATCCATGAAACCTAGAGGCTGCTCCTCAAGGCCAAGTAGCATAGAGCCCGGGCAGACCGGGAATTCGAAAGATCAATTAGTTAGCCTTACCTCGTCTCGTACCCAGACGTCGCAAGGGCTGGTGTACAGCCTTTTCAAAAAAAAAAAAAAAAAAAAAAAAAAAGACAAAGAAATCGTAATCGCCAACCACCACCATAAATTCTTGGATTTATACCCAGTACCAATGATGTTACTAACAACTAGCCTCCGTTTCTAACCTGACACATGTCAGCCAACCAGCTGACACATCATAAACCATTCAGCCACGTCTACAAGGGCAAATGAAGTCTCTTTGCTCCTCTCTTTTTAGGGATTGTGCGTCAGGGCTCCAACAAGCCACGTATCACTGCTATGGAAATATAAATACTCTCGCATTTACAGGTGTATATGCTGACGCAATGTTTCAACCGTGTGCGGAATATTCCATACAGTCTGTGGGGATATGCCCAGCAAGACGGCCTTGATTTCTCTAGAGTAACTCCATAGAGCTTTACTACAAGCTTTTTGTCTCCATGGTCTCCTTGATACTCCAAATTTACTCTCACGAGTGATCTTTTTGGTCCTCCAAATTGCTGCAGCCGGCCTAGTTCATAGTTGTGTAGTACATTCCCAAGGACTCTCTCGGTATAAGCAGTAGAAACACAGAATTGCTAGCAACTTCAAGTTCTCGCACGATTTTGCAGTCTAATTAATATCAATCCTCTAAAAGAGGTTAAGGGAGGCTGAGGGATGTTGAAGGAGGAACCGAGTGGGGCATCATCTAGACCACCAAAACGCTTGTTAGCGAAATTGGGAAAAATTATTTTGCTGTGACAAAGAAAACGATTGCCCGAAGATAACTTGGGGATACCATTCTCACCGTAAATTTCAACATATCGGGCCTTCGCGTTGTTCGCGAACCTCGAAAAAAGAAAAGCAAAGGCAGTGCGAACGCGAAAATGTATGGGCCGCATGCGTGGGGCCTGGAATACTACCTAGGTAATTGGCGGTTCTTTTTCTCAGACTTTGCGCGTGGCTTCTCTAGGAGCCGTTTTGAAGAATTTGTATAAATTTCCAGTCTCATGCCCATCAATTCTTCTATTCCAAAAAACATCACAAACTTCATCAACTTGTACCTGCTTTCACCGCAAACTTTAGTTTCCTAGAAACCTCTGATTTCCATCCCTGGTATCTCCTCTAAATACGTACCGCCTCAGATTCTGTTAACCTTAGAGTCAACCTCCTCCCCTTCTTTGATATCGACCACTTCCCTTCTACATGCACAAAGAAGGAAAACTTGCTCCATCAACCACCCTAGCTGCCGTCGCTAGGCCATCCGGGCAGTCGCATAGTACAGTCTGCTCCGCCAAGCCTTCAGCCCAGATACCCTCTCAGCCAGCACCGATTCCAATGGTTTCGGCGGATGAGACAAGCATTGTCCAAGCCAGGGACTCTATCCCATCCCCTGCAACGGTTCATACGACCACTCAATCGCCACCTCCTAGTTCTATCTCTATCTCGTCGCCTACTACCCCTCCTTCTTCTGACATTATCAGGCAACTGGACACTGCTCCACTCCTCCCAGAAGATGTGGCTACTGAAGCTAAGGGTATTTATGATGGTATTGTCATGCTCGAGGCGAAATGTATCGAATTAGTTCCAGAGAAAGCCGCTGCTGCCATTGATAGTAAACCTCTGACCGACGAAGAGTGCCAGAGCCTCATTACCCTACATAAAACACTCCTCGGAGAATATCATGACTTCCTTTGGGCTAGCCAACACCATGTTGCTACGCTCTCTGTGAATAAGCTTGCGACAAAACATAACATGCCTAATCGTATGTGCCTTCATGGTGTCTATAATATTCTTGAGCTATTCAGAAGTCATAAACTTGAAGACTCTGAGCGTATATCCTCCTTCCTCTCTTACGCTTATTCTATGATGGCTCTCTTATATGAGACCAAGCCTGTTTTCGCGGATACATGGATTGAGTGTTTAGGGTACCTTGCACGTTATCATATGGCTATTCAAAGTGATCCTCGTGATCGCAACACTTGGATGGATTCCTCCAGGTCTTGGTATTCCAAAGGAGCATATCGACAGCCTCATATTGGTAGCTTTTATCATTATTTGGCTGTTGTTTCCCGCCTCGACACCCTTCAACAACTGTTCTTTTACTATAAAGCTTTAGCAGTTACTCAACCATTCTCAGCCGCTCGTGAGAGCATTCTCACTCTCTTCGCCGACATTGCCTCCCAGGAAGTCCAACTTGATCATGATGTTTTCATCTCCTTACACTCCATTTGTTTCACTAGTGTCAACCAAAATACCTTCGATAAGAAGAAAGATGAATACTTGGGGCTCCTTAAGACGAGTATTCCTATCAATAAACCCAAGTTCAAGGCCTCTGGTGCTTATATTGCCATTTGTGGGGTCGCTAGTTTATTTCAATATAACCTCGAAAACGGGAGTATGCAAGTAGCTACTACTTCTGAAGAAAATCAACACACCACTGCCGATGCCGATGCCGATGCCGCAGATAACGAGCCCAAAGACGCTCTTCTTTTTCGACCTTCTGAGTTAAATTCTGATACCCTCAACATTTCTCTTATTTGTACGCAAGAACTTGCTTTCGACATCCTCTCTTTGTTGTTCAGTTGCGAGGGTAATGGTGTTCAACCTCATATCCACGTCTGGCTCGTTTTCCTCGACTATCTCAAATATTACCCCAATGGAATAGCCTTGATATTTAAAAGGTTCCCCTGGAAACAAATGACACAGTATGGAACAGCACTTCTTAAGGAAAAGAAAAGCAATAAAGCCTTTCTTGAAAGAGTTCAAGACAGCAAGAGCTTCCCAACCGTTGAAGGCTTACAGCCGTTGCCAGAGGAATATATGATGCGTGGTCTTGAAATTGCCGGAAAATATTTCCCAGGTGATTATTTTAGCGGAGTCACCGATAATGACGAGACCGAGAGCTTTGTCGAACCCCCACAAATTGATGCCGCTCGAGAGGAAAAAATTTTATGGCTTATGGTAAGGGTTGCAAGTTACTATCCTTGGGTTCGGTTTGATCCGGTTGAATACGATTTCAGTATCTTAAACAAATGGTAGAGACGTTGACAATATGGACATCTTGTTCGGGTGTTCCCGAAGGGAGAGGGATCTATATGGGAAAATATAGAAAATAGCATGGGCACACTAAAATAATTGTTTAGTGCAGACAAGTACGATGTTAGACTTGTTGCGGTGACCCATATAGGACCGCAACTCCAAAAGAGCTATAAACAAACAACCAAATGACGTCAATAGCCACAGGAACACCGGCCACAGAATCATGAAGCTACAGGCTTGACGGGTATAGGCATGGGCATGGGTTCACTGTGTAGATAAAGACATGTAGATAACTAGCGCAATCCTTAGTTCTCTATCGAATTTTGATAAGATGGCTAGTAGTCCCAGTGTATTACTGATCATTAAAACAATATATAAGGTTTTTATATACGACTAACATATGAGAATGAACCTGAAAATTTACACTTAGTATGCAGGCCAAATCTCATCGCATCACCTAGTCTCGGTCTCAGATGCCCTCGGACACAACCTGCTACTAAATTCGCTTAGATATGAGTCAACCGACTCCTGGAACAGAGAAATGATTTCTTAATCATCCAAACTGCCTAACCTGGTTCGGTTCTTAGCGGCTGGAGGAGTACCATGGTTTGGGGCAAACAAGTGGCTGACAGGTTGACAGCCATGAGGTCCTACATTCGGAAATAAAATAAAAAACTCATGATAGCTCAATTTCTGCCTTCTTCAGTGCCGTGGGGGGGCACGGAAATAGTTCATTCGGGTCTTCGCAGAGAAAAGTATTGAAACAAGGCCGAGGTATAACCATGTCTAGTAGAAGTCGTACGACGCATCTGGACCATTGTGGTTTTTCCCCGAGAAATGGATAGCAGCCGCAAATTCCCCGAACTAGGGACCACACCCCGCCAGAGTAGTGCTACTTCGTTCTACGAGGCCCTGTCGCCGTGTTTAAGCGGTTAGGTCACCCGATCTCCGTGCGCCCCGTGGTGCCAGATTCAGTTCTTTGCGTCCGTCGCGGGAAAGCGTTACGCGAATACATCGTGGCGAATCAGTGGTCGGATGAGCTTGAGGGATCGTACCCAATACGTTCTCCCGCCTTTGATAGAAAGTGCACAACCCGCTTCAGCGATGGCGTAGCGATCGTGCTGTGGAACGAGGGAGCCATGCCTCGGCTCGCCGGGCGCATCGTAAATGTTTTCGTCACTTTGAAGAATAAGACGGCCCTACAAATGCCTGGAAAAGATATTTATTTAGAGCGAGACCGAGAGCCAATGCTAATAGGTACCCATTGGCCGAAGAGAGCTGGTCGCGCGATCGCGGCTGCACAGCATGCATCGTGACCTGGAGCTCGGGGTTTACGCGAGGCGTTTTCTGAGGACTGGTTTACGGTTTATGAGGTGCTGCACTGTCGATAACTCGTACCAGATCGAGACTGGTTTCCCTTGTAAAGTTTGACCGCATCGGATGAAGCTTGAAGGTTGTCAACTGGTTTATAGGATAAGTTAACAGCCCTCGATCTAGATCTGTGCTTATGTGCGCTCAAACTTGGCGGATCGGTACCGAAACGGGGACAATACCCGTATCCCGATCGAACATCTGTCCCAATTTAAACTTTCTGCGTTTCACAGATTACCACACTCTCAACACAAAATTGACTCTATAAGGGCGATTACTTTAGAAGTCCAAGTTTAAAGGTTTAAAATACTAAATATCGTGAAAATACAGGCATAGCCTACGGGCATAGTCAGTCCAAGCATTGGAAATTCTAGGGTCAGAGCTCAGCCTTAATAATTTTGCAAAAGAACAAGTAACGGCTCACCAGCCCTTGCGATGTCTGGGTACGAGACCAAAAAGAACTATATTTCAAAACTCTACTCTACTTTGGGGTAAAGCAAGAAGCAAAAAGTGCCGCCATTTCTGAGTATTCCTCATCAATATTTGGGTCTGAAATCGTAAATATAGACTGTTTCTAAATAACTGCTATCAGCAATTACGACGCCTCCGCAATCCCTATATATTCTCCATCTATCCCTGCTGCAACAATCTTCAGGAATACGCATTGTACTATTGTTTTTCCTGACCTTCAACTCCTCCTCTATTAGATACAGTCGTGGAATTGTGGCAAATTCAATGAGGTGCGGGTATTTCCTCACAAATAAATTTTGCATAATATTTCTTGGGCTTTCGGGGGGATCGGGAAGTCGCTCGAGAAATGAGATGATAGTAGCGGTCGTTGACTGAGCTATCGCGTTCATGACTCTTGGTAAGATGTCTCCCGATGTTCTAGGAGGTACGGGGTTTGGTAGGGTTTTCATGGCCCACGCCTTTATTGACGATAGAATAGTTGGCTCAGAGGTGAGTTCCCATAGGAGATCTGGTGGTGAGACAAAATTCGTGGTCTCCACGAATTCATCCCATAGGTTTAAAGAGATCTCAATGGATCTACCTTGAGATGGGGAATGGTCCAAGACGAAAGATATCGACTGTCTGGACTTCATGAAACAGTAATTTCGGATGCGTACTAGCTTGAAGTTATCGTCGCAATCGAGCTCGAAAACCAAGAACTCCGTCGCGATAATCTCCCGTTCCGTAATGTGAAGCTGGGCCCCTCTGAACTCTATAGAGCTAGGAGTGCCTCTCAGCCAGATCATTTCAACCTCTTGAATGAAATCTTTTTCCGGTTGGTAAACCCAAAGCCACCTGTTGTAAGATACAACCAGGTATTTGCCATCGGGGCTAGTTATATAAACACCTCCGCTGACTACCGGGTTGCGAAGTTCCACCGTCTTTCGGTCGACTTCTAGTCCGTTCTCACAATCAAGAATAAGAAGGTGGAGCTGTTTCAAGTTCAGCGAATCCGATCTCATGATCGAATACAGCCTTCGCCCCCCGAAACAATGACAACTTTTACACAATTCCCACGGATAAGTCGCACCGAATTCAAAACTCCATATCTTGTCCGGTTTTCCACGACTAGTATCGATGCAGGAGGCACTTAAATTTTGAATCAGCTGAGGGGATTCCCAAGAGGAAAGGGGGAAAGCTTACACAAATTGATCTGTATACATCTCACTGTCTTCATAGTGCCAAATGACTATCATTCTTTCTGGCCGAGAACGGACCGAGACGAGGTCGTCGATGAAGAAGTTTGTATAGCTTATTCCCAGAACAGATTGCAATTCCCAGCGATTTACAAAATGCTTTTGCATACTAGCTGGGTTAATGTCAATACAACTGATGTAACGATGCCCTACATCGGTCCAAAAAACCAATTCATCGTTGACGGCTTCCCAGCATGATACGTTAGACAACGTTATCGTTTTGATGGGCCTGGGCCCGGCGCGACGCTGCTGCGCAAAGTCTAGGTATTTAAGAGTTTTATTAGCGTATGGAAAGGCTCTCTCTATCAAATTAAATACCTACAGTTAGCTCTTAAAGCCCGTTCTGCCCAATTTTTGTCTCCTTGAACTCGATACCTCCTCGTAATATTCGTCGATCCGAAATGTTCCGCGACATACCTTTCCACTATCCCGTACTCTATTCGCATTTTCCACAACTTACAAACCCTCTTTGCTCTCAAAACCTATTTTGGCGATAGTAAATATAAAATGTAAAGGTTTATCTCTAGCGGGAGAATTTCCATCGGGTCAGCCATTGATGTATATATGCCGTTAACTGGTGGTATTTTTCGACAAGAGTAGAGTTTGGTATATATACTAATGATTACTTCACGCAATGGTACGCGTAAGCAAAATTCTTAGTCGATTGTAAGATATACTAGTGAGTGCTGGCCTCGTCCCCGTACACTGACCTCAATATATAACTGTTGCAACGCCATTGATCTGCCAAATCAAAGTGAATCATATTTCTGAATGACAGCTAATCAAATATCTAATGATCTATTTTTGGGTATACGGCGCAGGTGCCGCAGACTCAGCTGGCCAATAATTAACCTAGTTATTACAAAATCTCGCGACAAAGTGCATGTTAGGTGGGATAATATCATCGACTCGACGGTACTAATGTCAGTAGCACAGGCCCCAGCCTAACGAACGGGGTTATATATCACGCAATTATATCGTCCCTTTATAGCCATAATAGGCTTGACTAGCTTCTTGCTAGCCTGGTCGCATCTTACATCAGGAAATGGTCCTGAAATCCGCAGAAATCGCATCAAATATTTAAATATGGCCTATGGAGTTGACACCCATGATATGCCCCTCTTGCAGCTTAACCTCCAACAGCTCCAATGTGTTGTTGCATGTTGACTACTTTGATCGACTCCGGACCGGACCGGACCTCGATATTAATATATTGAAACAAGACGGATACGTACCGCGCACTGTTGAGAATCGATCCTATTCAGAATCGATCCTATTCAAACAGTTGCAAGATATATTAACCATCAGGGATATCGGAGTTCATGAGGCCACATACGTGCTACATGACGGTGATCGCCGGCGCCGTTACATGCTACAGCTACAGCTGTACAGCATGTTTCATCGCAACCGAAATATGTCATGAATCAATCTATTCGGCCCTAGTTGTGAATCTTTTAGAGTACAATCAATTGATCAGCCTGCTTCCGGAATTCCATGGTAATAGATGATTTGCATGTTATTTTATGTCTAAAATTGGCTTTGCGGGGCAGATTCTGGGCAGGCGCCCGTACGCAATCGTGGCACAAAATCCATGCCATGTATACTTTGATATATAATCCAACAATTTTGCAGTAGAGCCGTAGGAATTCTGATTGGTATCTACATATTGATCGTTCAGCTCTTTGGGCGATAAAGGATTATAATCCTTGGAGAAAGTTGTGAAAGATTCTCGAACGCGCTCCGACCGTCTAATGCTGTATCAAGCGTAACTAGTGCCTGACCAATGATCTATTACTTGGCATACCAGCGGAAGCTATCGTTTTGTACTACTATACGTGAAAACAAGAGCGAATTGAACGCGCCCCTACCGCCAGATTCTTGTAACTCGGTGTAGCTCACACACCATAATTAAATGTGGGACGATGGTATCCTAGATACCTCAAGAGCTTAGGTCTCTATTCCACGATAAGGACTCCTGTATGGTAATTGAGCAGTTCGCCCCAGCTTTTCCGTGCGAGCTGAAGTCCGCGGGCTTGCATAAATAGTTTCTGATGCCTCTAATGACCTTTGCAATAGTATCGAACCCGCGGTTCTGGGGGTGGTATTTGTGTCTGATGACGCATTCGTGCTAATGGCAATTTAATAAAATCTCGTGGATGCTGTCGCATTGTTGCTTGCGGACGTAGTGATTTTTCTAACATCGGTACATGCATGTTCTCTTGCGACGGACGTATCCAACTGGGTGGACGTAAAAGTGAGCGGGGTTTCTCCTTCAAAGGGGTTTCAATCTTGAACACCGGTGGGTAATCTTTGGGTCTAGCCATTTGGCGGATTGCGATGGTCGCAGAAAAATGCCAAAAATCCGACCTGTTGTCTCAGCCCACATATATTCATCTTTTCGTGCAATCTCGTAAACACAGAGACCATTTTCTCTCGCGTGATCGCGTGGCCACTGGGAAAATTCATTCTTGCTTAACTGGTTGTTTTAAGTGTTTCCGACTTATTACCGGCCATTAGGAATTCCATAAACCAGCCTGCACTGACCTTAAAAAAAAGATCCGGTAAGGGTGGTGACCCTGTAACTATAGTAATAACTTCGTACTCCCTATCTAGATGGCCCGGTATTGGAATGGAACTCGTAATAAAAAATGTTTTTGAGTCCGGCGTCAGCTGTGAAACGGTAGAATCGGGAACTGGGGCTATAGGACCATGATGTTACCCGTATACCATGCGAGAGTCGAGTCAGACTTACAGGCTCAATTTTGTCGAGTTTCGACACTCGTTCATTTATTACTACATAGCACGTCGTCAAGAAGGGGTATCATTGCAACAGAGCTACAGGGACGATACGTATTGATGCTCTAGTGAGCTCGTGAGGCAGCAACTCCGTTTCAAACTTAACGTATGTACGTAAGTGGCACAGTACCTACCTTCTGACCTGGTTTACTTTTGGCCCCAAATTCCCAGCTGTAATTTTGACCACTGCCGGTCTAAAACCAATGAGCATGCGTCTACGCTCACATTGTGCAATTGTGGGGCTGTCGGGTGGAGCCTGTATTTGTGATTGAGAATCGTGCAGCCAAAATCCATGTGATATCCGTATTTCTCGCTAATAGCCCCGACAGGATGGTAAATTGCTACATATTCGTTTTGTTAAGTCGAGTCGCGATTCCGAGGCCGAGGGTTGACTGCCGGCTGAGCAGGCCGATCATCGTTCGGTATGTCCTAACGAGGATGAAAAATATCCGTTTTTGGCTACCGCGATGCGTTGGGCGACGCTAACGGCTCGTATTCGATATCCAAGGTCCTATAGCGAAAATGCTATTATATGTAGCCATCATCCGGCATCCACAACCGTCGGCCGTCACACCATCAAAGGGACGTTACGGCAAGGACAAACTGTACCAAAGAGCGATTCGATCCCAAACTGGAGGGCGTAACGAGGAGACATATGCACACGTTTGGTAGCTCACGCTGCCAACTTGTTATATATATGATCACGTGGTTTAATTTATGTTTGTCATTGCCATCTAAAATAGGAAGTCTCCCTCAGATTCTTCCTAATAGGGCAAGTCTTGGCATGTTCTCTGGGGGAAAAAAGAGGTGGGAAAAATTTCGCGGGCAAAACCACCAAAATTTGGGACGCACGCTGTGCGTTCTAATTAAGTCTTCTGCTACGCAGTTGGGCATTTGCATTCGGTTTTTTGAGTATTGATACGAAGGGTCTGTTCACGATCGCTCTAAATTAAATGACGCCCTCGTACGGCTCGTGCGCTAGGGAAGTATTACCCCGACATCGGTTAGCTAGGTGTTTTGCCACTTTCTCGACTCGAGGCTAAAAACCAGGTTCTGTACGGATGTGGCACGACGGCAGAGTGCTCCGTTAGTCAGCGTTTTTCGGTCAAGTTTGTCCAAATGTTGTAACTGCGTTGCAGTCGAGTCTCGCAATTCCGATTGTATGTCTGGTAGCTAGGGCCCTGCATGCCAGCGCGGTCAGCTGAGTAGAGGCAAGATGGAGCGAGACACCTGCAAAACTACACCTAAATAAGGACTTAGCTAAATGAAGTCATCCTTTACATTCCGATAAGGTATACCTCAGCTCCTTTATTAATTATTGGGAATGGGCCTGTATAGGGCGCGAAATGGTTGCAATTCCCGACATTGAAGGGTAAAATTTTCTCGAACGTTTTTATCTTTCTAGCGGGTGAGCTTTACCCAAAATTTAAAACCCGATGCCAAGCAATTCAAGGAATCGAATATCGGAGGTGGTGTCTGTCATGCAAGCTAAATTTGGGCCTATGGTGTTGTTTAGGCCCATGATATTGCCCGGCAAATGCGAAATTTGGCGTCTACCTAGGTAGTTAGAGCGAAAACTATCTTTCTAAGCTGCCTGGCTTTTTAGCTCCACGACTTGATCCTGCCGGCCATCCGACCCTCCCCCCATGCCGCTCTATGCAATAGGACTGAACACTCGAACATGCTATCCTGAGGACAATTCTATATTTGGTGAGAAGAGTTGTGACGAAGCGCGAAGGAGTATTGATCAGTTAAGTACCTAGGTAAGTCAAGATGGAGTTAGTTTTAGACTCTCAGACGGGCTGGGTCGATGCATTGCGAAACATGTTTTCGCAATCCATCCATCGCTTAGCTTTTCGAGTGCTACCTGTTTACTTGACGCCGCAACCTCCCAACAATTCAAAGGCCATGCTATTATTATGTTTTCGCAGATATTAAATACCTACTTTCACTCGCGCCTATAAAGACAT